TCGAACACGCCTGTTAGGTGGCTTCTGATGCTCGTCGAGGTCGGAATTTCCAAATACGCGTGGTGCGTCGGGCCGCGCGCTCTGACTTCGGCCAAGAAAAATGCGTCAGCTGATCATTGTCATTTCTGCCACTTGCGTGTGGTGTAATGGGGTCATAACTTAAGAGACGGCTGTTTCATATCAATTATTTTACATAAAATCATATTTCAAACCACAAATTAATGTTCGACAGCCAAATTTAAGAAACAATACCAATACAGGCTTACAGTTTAAGGCTCGACATTGTGTTGTCTACGATTAGACAGCTGATAACTCATTCCCGTACGTCGTATGGTCGTAACACTATAATGACCTTTGCTTATTGTCACAAGTGCGCCGCATTCGCGATTGTTGCCCGACGCCTGTTTGCAGGTGAGCCCACTACAGTTGTTATACATATCTAAAAACCGATAAACTTTTAGGCGAAAAAGGCACTATTCCAGGCCCATTTTGGATTTTTTTGCGATATTAGGTAAAAACAGAAGCCTCTTATCCTAGGAAAAATAAAACGGGAAATCTTTCAAAGGTGGCACACTACCTTTAATGGCTATGCGATTACGCACTTTACCAAACAACCAAAGTGCTTACGTTCATACATAACGAGGAATACCTACATCCATAAGCGAGCGAAAAATACAATATGAGTTATTGAATGAATGAATGAATGAATGAAAACATACACGAATGACAAACGAATAGAAACATGAACGAAAAATGAATTCATGGAGACATAAACGAACGACGAATGAGTGAATGAATGAATAAATGAATGAATGAATGAATGAATGAATGAACATAACCAACGCACCTGAAGTCCGTAGAAGAGATTGCCAAGATCGAAGAAACGAGGCGATGCGGCCGCTGTGGACTTGGTCTGATAGCTGGCTACATCAGAGGTCGTAGCCGTGGGCTGATAGCTGCTACTAGCGGCCTGAAGAAAAAGGCAGCCATTGGTTAGAAAAAGCTGGCATTATTTGCAAAAAGAAGGGTACCTGGAAAATTGTGCAACCTGCGAGAAATATTGCACTAGAATGAGCTTTAGAATCGACGAACGTGAAATATAATTCACGGTCGTGATCTTGAACCAGAAAACATTTCCAAAAAAATGAGCCCTTTCATGCCCCAAATGTGCGCCTTGATAGAAGTGCCAGATCACAGCTCGTCATGCGCCAGCGTTCTCACCTGGTAGCTGGAGGTGCTGGCGGCGGTGTGGCTGTCGGATCTCCTCTCCAGAGGTACGGCCACCGACGGCTGGAACCCGCCTCTGAAGAACGACTCGCTGAAAAAAAAAACGGGAAATGGTTTGCTTCTAACATATTCTCTTATATTGCGGCGTTTAGGTACTTTTAGTTACGTTTTTGACGTACTGTGGTGACCTATGTCTTACATACTTTGAAGTCATGAAAAGATAAAAGTATGCTTAGTGTCATTTGATCTAGTGAATTTCCTGATATTGGATGACAATTTATGCAGATGATATCAATTCTTATAATTAATTTCGCAGTATATAGGCTTCTTTCTTGCAATCGAAATAAAATGATATTAAATTAATTTAAGATTATAATCAAAAGTTGTGAAGGCTTAAATCAATCGGCAGGTCGATAATCAGAGCGATGTAAAAGTTAACACGCGCACCGACGGCCCCCCCCCCTGAGGTTTTTCGCGAATAGCGGAAAAACCCCGGCGCGTAGCGCCGCGAAATTTAGTACGACTATTCTATTATCAATTTTACACATGGTGTGCAAGTTTGAACCTCCTAACTTTTTAGGTCAGGTCACCAGGTCACTTTGAATGACCCAACCTCAAGTCACTTTTTTCAACTTTGTCACCGTGCCAGAGCTACAGTAGATGTCGGAGGCCTTTGAAAGTCTCAGGATGTTATGAGGTCATTAATAGCTACAATTTGTATATCTCGGAATTTTGATGTCGGTGACCTAAGGTCAGGTCAATTTCGCGACCTCCCCATTATAAGTCAATGGGGGAAAAATCAACTCCCTGTTTTTACCACTAAAACGGGTCGGAATGGCCCCATATACCATACATGACTTCATATACGATCAACCTTCACTACCTTGAGGTCTGTTTTGCTTTTGGGCAGTTGTAAGGTCATGTGACGTCATCAAAGGTCACCAGCGGTTTTTTACCAATAACTCCGTACAGAAACAAGATACAGCCGCGCGGATGGTCTCATTGTGTTCAGCTCGTCAGGACGCATCGAATGATATATATATATATATATATATATATATATATATGATGACCTCGAGGTCACGTGACCTGAGGTCAACCTTTGACCTTGACCTTTCGAGGTCAACATATATATCATTTAATGGGGATTGACGAGAGGATCACGATGGTGCCCTTAGTTTGTTCCTATCGTGACTAGTTCGAAAGTTATTCGAGAAAAACTCTCCCCATATCTAGCGCCGCCATTTTGACTTTTTTGACCCCTGTGACGTCATCTTTGACCTGACCTGAAAATGACCTTTGTAGAAATTGTAGACCTTGTCCGTGCGTATCCGATGCCGTTTACCGCTTGTCGCTATCTTGCTTCGTTCTCGAGATCTCAGGGGGGGGGCGGTCATCCGCCTCCCCCCCGTCAGTACGAAGTTGGCGCAGACCCCCGTCGGTGCGCGGGTTAACATTACCATTTTATGGTAATAGATATGTTTGTTTATGGTGTATCTCAGCCTTACCTTCCGCCGTCGATCTTGCCTCCCCGGGCTCTCTGCGACACTGGCACGGATGAAGCCGCCGCTCCGGCCACCAGCAGCGCGCACACAAACACTGGCGAGGAGAACATCTCGACGAGTCGGTACACCTGGTCTGACCTGATATGACCCGGGCTGGCCTGGCCTCTGTCTTATAACACTGAGTACAGCTAAATCTCACTGTGTCACCGACACTGCAGCTGTGATCACTCTGTGCCGATTCCCGGCCGGCCCGGCGGCTATATTCAGGCCGTTCTGGTCCGGGGAGGCCTCTCACCGTGTTGCCACACCGCCCCTGGCTGACGGTGGCCGCTCCTGCTCCGGTGCAGTATGACCGCCCCTCCCCGCCCCGCTGCACGCTCAGGTCACGCCCCGGTCACACAGGGGGACAGCAGGTTCGCTCGTGCCAGCCAAGGTCGTCGACATGCCCTGCTGCCGCTGATCTTACGCACTGGCCTGGACCGTGTCGCAGCAGGATGTGGCGAAACGTGCGCGGCCCGAGCCAACGCAACAAGTGGAGCAGTTAATTGTTGTATAAATATTACACAATGCTCTAAATGGTGTCACAGGCACATATTTCTAACCTGGTTATGACTTGGTGACAAGGTGATAAGTGACCTAGAGATTCATTCTTCAGTCATCCGGCGTTTTCCCTGCAGCTCTACAAAGGGTGAACCGCAAACGGGAGAGCGCTAGCACGGCTGGGGGGTCTGTTCTTGGCGGGCTGAAACGCAACATTGTCATTTCTTGCCATCAAATTCGCATTCGTGGTTTCTAAATGGACTGTTTAGATCGAAAGATTACAACAAAACGTAACTTCGCGACATGAAACGTAAAATAAAACGTAATTAACAATAACACACGTAGCGTCATTGTCAGTATTGATTTGAAAGCATTCGAAAACTTGAACCAGACACGTGTAAGGTTCCGAGGAAATGGATCTGGGATCTGATCTCACGGAACATGATCTCAGATCCGTCCGGATCATAGATCCAGCCGTTTAATTTGTCGAGGGATCCGTAGGGATCATAGATCCGAGTCTAATTTTTTGCTTGAGATGCAGTGAGATCATAGATCCTCACTTTTTTTTTGTCAACGCAGAAATCCCCAAAAAATCAAACGTTGCAGCTCACACTAACGTTCTGTTTTAGTGATTCTATGTGATTAAACATCATAATCTATAGTTTTGTGGCACTTATAACACGCGCAGTGGAAGGGGGAGTCGAATTTCGCCCACCCCACCTGGTTTTTGCAAGTATTTCACGCGGTAACCATTCCAAGGTTTCAGTACCTGCCTAAAATTGAATTACTCATCTTGCCTTGAAAACAATAAGGAAATCGGTCTAAAACTTTTCTAGTTACAGGGCGCAGAGGGGCGTAAAGGAAAAATCCCGCCGGAGCGGCGGCGCGGTGGCTTTCGCCGGCCGATTCTGGCTGCAAGCGCCGGACGGATCCGTCTTTTCATTGCGCTTGTTACCGGCCCGCTGCTAATGATCGATTCGCGTCAAAATCTCTGTGAAGTCGAAATCTGTAACCACTGGAAGAGTATTGTTATAGGTAGTCGGCGTCCGGTAGCTCGTCCATGGCAGAAATACTTCACGAAATACGTTCGTGTTATTGACATTTGACACTCTGGGCTCGTTGGCCGAGTGAAAGGCTTGCAATTCATCCTTCTTTTAGGCTCCAGAGTGAACTTGGACCTATTGAAAAATAAGAAATAATGAAAGATGCTAGACCGTACACTTTTTATACTCACAAGTAGGTATACTTTTTATCCGCCCAAGGAAATTATGTCGTATGTAGGTAGTAGATGCCTATACTTAGCTCATATCTACCAACAGACAAGGAAGCATCCAAATAAGTTCGTCAGCCCTCAGTACCACACTCGACCCGTGAGAAAATGGTCAGCTGTCAACGAACCTGATAAGACCATATCAGCGTCTGCATTGCGACTGAATGCACTTCAGTAGACTGCTGGCCTCGCATTGCTTTACCAGGAGCGAAATCGCGGAAGAAGTATCAGGCGCCAGTTCAAGCTACTCCGCAAATAGACGTAAATGGGAAAGATGGCCCTATATGGGATGCTGCGCCTGCTCTTCGTCATAGGTAAGATTTCGAGTGCAGGTGTTATGCTAGCCCGCCGCTACCGGCTACGCCGAAAACCCAAGGGGTAGGCACTTATTCTCGATCTTGCTATCAATCACGATTCGATTTACCACACGTCAAGCTCTCGGTTTGGAAAACGGACGCATTGGAGTCAATTATTCGTTTTGGAATAAACTTATTGCGAAATAGCCAGTAGCCGTCCAGCCAGCATAATCATCCAATTTTCCGTTGTACTTATGTGGCTTATTCAAGTGCAACTGGTGACATTGAGGTTGGTAGATGACCGGGCAATTCTGGCCACTCTCTTTTCTTAGCCAGCTGTCCAGCGCCTCACCTAAAAAAAAAAAAAACACATTTCTAGACGACAAGAATAGATGCAGTTTGCACACATTCTACTGTCATACATTCCCGCACGTTCGTATAATTGCATGCAGATTGATATCAATCTCGTACATGCAGATTCCGGACCCTTTCAAATCGCCTCAAAATTGGCATGTAGACCAAACAGGACAGGCTGATCACGAATCCGAAGTCCGTTCCGCGGCACATATGAAACTTTTCCCGTAATTGACGAATTACGGATCTGCATGCAGATTCCGGACCCTTTCAAATCGCCTCAAAATCGGCATGTAGACCAAACAGGACACGATGATCACGAATCCGAAGTCCATTCCGCGGCACATCTGAAACTTTTCCTGTAATTGACAAATTACGGATCTGCATGCAGATTCCGGACCCTTTCAAATCGCCTCAAAATCGGCATGTAGACCAAACAGGACACGCTGATCACGAATCTGAAGTCCGTTCCGCGGCACATCTGAAACTTTTCCCGTAATTGACAAATTACGGATCTGCATGCAGATTCCGGACCCTTTCAAAACGCCTCAAAATCGGCATGTAGACCAAACAGGACACGCTGATCACGAATCTGAAGTCCGTTCCGCGGCACATATGAAACTTTTCCCGTAATTGACGAATTACGGATCTGCATGCAGATTCCGGACCCTTTCAAATCGCCTCAAAATCGGCATGTAGACCAAACAGGACACGCTGATCACGAATCCGAAGTCCGTTCCGCGGCACATATGAAACTTTCCCCGTAATTGACGAATTATGGATCTGCATGCAGATTCCGGACCCTTTCAAATCGCCTCAAAATCGGCATGTAGACCAAACAGGACACGATGATCACGAATCCGAAGTCCGTTCCGCGGCACATATGAAACTTTTCCCGTAATTGACGAATTACGGATCTGCATGCAGAAACCGGACCCTTTCAAATCGCCTCAAAATCGGCATGTAGACCAAACAGGACACGCTGATCACGAATCTGAAGTCCGTTCCGCGGCACATCTGAAACTTTTCCCCGTAATTGACAAATTACGGATCTGCATGCAGATTCCGGACCCTTTCAAAACGCCTCAAAATCGGCATGTAGACCAAACAGGACACGCTGATCACGAATCTGAAGTCCGTTCCGCGGCACATATGAAACTTTTCCCGTAATTGACAAATTACGGATCTGCATGCAGATTCCGGACCCTTTCAAAACGCCTCAAAATCGGCATGTAGACCAAACAGGACACGCTGATCACGAATCTGAAGTCCGTTCCGCGGCACATATGAAACTTTTCCCGTAATTGACGAATTACGGATCTGCATGCAGATTCCGGACCCTTTCAAATCGCCTCAAAATCGGCATGTAGACCAAACAGGACACGCTGATCACGAATCCGAAGTCCGTTCCGCGGCACATATGAAACTTTCCCCGTAATTGACGAATTATGGATCTGCATGCAGATTCCGGACCCTTTCAAATCGCCTCAAAATCGGCATGTAGACCAAACAGGACACGATGATCACGAATCCGAAGTCCGTTCCGCGGCACATATGAAACTTTTCCCGTAATTGACGAATTACGGATCTGCATGCAGAAACCGGACCCTTTCAAATCGCCTCAAAATCGGCATGTAGACCAAACAGGACACGCTGATCACGAATCTGAAGTCCGTTCCGCGGCACATCTGAAACTTTTCCCCGTAATTGACAAATTACGGATCTGCATGCAGATTCCGGACCCTTTCAAAACGCCTCAAAATCGGCATGTAGACCAAACAGGACACGCTGATCACGAATCTGAAGTCCGTTCCGCGGCACATATGAAACTTTTCCCGTAATTGACGAATTACGGATCTGCATGCAGATTCCGGACCCTTTCAAATCGCCTCAAAATTGGCATGTAGACCAAACAGGACACGGTGATCACGAATCCGAAGTCTGTTCCGCGGCACATATGAAACTTTTCCCGTAATTGACAAATTACGGATCTGCATGCAGATTCCGGACCCTTTCAAATCGCCTCAAAATCGGCATGTAGACCAAACAGGACACGCTGATCACGAATCCGAAGTCCGTTCCGCGGCACATATGATTTTCCGCGGATTCGTGATCAGCGTGTCCTGTTTGGTCTACATGCCGATTTTGAGGCGTTTTGACAGGGTCCGGAATCTGCATGCAGATCCGTAATTTGTCAATTACGGGAAAACTTTCATATGTGCCGCGGAACGGATTTCAGATTCGTGATCAGCGTGTCCTGCTTGGTCTACATGCCGATTTTGAGGCGATTTGAAAGGGTCCGGAATCTGCATGCAGATCCGTAATTTGTCAATTACGGGAAAAGTTTCATATGTGCCGCGGAACGGACTTCAGATGCGTGATCAGCGTGTCCTGTTTGGTCTACATGCCAATTTTGAGGCGATTTGAAAGGGTCCGGAATCTGCATGCAGATCCGTAATTCGTCAATTACGGGAAAAGTTTCATATGTGCCGCGAAACGGACTTCGGATTCGTGATCAGCGTGTCCTGTTTGGTCTACATGCCGCTTTTGAGGCGATTTGAAAGGGTTCGGAATCTGCATGCAGATCCGTAATTCGTCAATTACGGGAAAAGTTTCATATGTGCCGCGGAACGGACTTCAGATTCGTGATCAGCGTGTCCTGTTTGGTCTACATGCTGATTTTGAGGCGATTTGAAAGGGTCCGGAATCTGCATGCCGATCCGTAATTCGTCAATTACGGGAAAAGTTTCATATGTGCCTCGGAACGGACTTCGGATTCGTGATCAGCGTGTCCTGTTTGGTCTACATGCCGATTTTGAGGCGATTTGAAAGGGTCCGGAATCTGCATGCCGATCCGTAATTCGTCAATTACGGGAAAAGTTTCATATGTGCCTCGGAACGGACTTCGGATTCGTGATCAGCCTGTCCTGTTTGGTCTACATGCCAATTTTGAGGCGATTTGAAAGGGTCCGGAATCTGCATGCAGATCCGTAATTCGTCAATTACGGGAAAAGTTTCATATGTGCCGCGGAACGGACTTCGGATTCGTGATCATCGTGTCCTGTTTGGTCTACATGCCGATTTTGAGGCGATTTGAAAGGGTCCGGAATCGGCATGCCGATCCGTAATTCGTCAATTACGGGAAAAGTTTCATATGTGCCTCGGAACGGACTTCGGATTCGTGATCATCGTGTCCTGTTTGGTCTACATGCCAATTTTGAGGCGATTTGAAAGGGTCCGGAATCTGCATGCCGATCCGTAATTCGTCAATTACGGGAAAAGTTTCATATGTGCCTCGGAACGGACTTCGGATTCGTGATCAGCCTGTCCTGTTTGGTCTACATGCCGATTTTGAGGCGATTTGAAAGGGTCCGGAATCTGCATGCAGATCCGTAATTCGTCAATTACGGGAAAAGTTTCATATGTGCCGCGGAACGGACTTCAGATTCGTGATCAGCGTGTCCTGTTTGGTCTACATGCCGATTTTGAGGCGATTTGAAAGGGTCCGGAATCTGCATGTACGAGATTGATATCAAGCTGCATGCAATTATACAAACGTCATTCCCGCCTCGTCCGACAGGCGCCGCCCGTGCCACGTCCTTCATCTCCGTCCCGAGTGACGTCACCCTGTCACGTGACGAGACGGCCCAGCTGACCTGCGAGCTGGACGAGCCGGTCACGTGCGCCTGGCGGCTGGAGGGGACGGCGCTCAACAGCAGCGGCTTCCTGAACACGCTGCCGCCGCCGCTGGTGGAGGCATCGTCACCTCTGCACCCGACCGACTGCAGCGTGACCCTGACCCACCCGGACGAAGACTACACGGGCAGATACCAGTGCGCGCCCTACACGAGCGACGGCGCGCAGATCCTCAGCGGATGGGCGGCTGTCCATGCAAGTATCTGAGATTGTGTGGTTTGTGATGGAAGAGTAGTGGACTCCGCTCTGAAAATGGATCCTTCGATCGCATTGCTCTCCTGTCACTGAACTTTGAAATCGACCATAGAGGCTGTAGGTACCTATTCATAGCAAATTAACTAGGCATTCGATATTCGATAAGCTCAATAGTTATTTTAGATTATTGGCCACTGTTAGACGTACCTACATAAAACGCTTCACTCAGTTGGTTCGCCGTCTCATTCATGATGTATTTATAAGTCACTCATAGTCATGTCCGATATCTATGAAATTACGGTGACTGCGATGTCCATGGGCATCCACATTTCAATCCTCCTTTCTTCCCAGGTCGAGTCGAGTGACGTATTCACGTGCCCGGAGGAGAGCGGCACCTACCTCGACGAGTACGACTGCCGCTACTTCTATGTCTGCATCGGCGGGACCCCTGTGCACGAGATGTGTCCCGACCCGCTGGTCTTCAACCCGAGCCTCCTCAACTGCGATTACGTGGAAGACGTGCCCGAATGCCAGTGATGACACTATGGAAGATCGTCTGAGCTAAAAGACATGGAGATCGAAATTAAACGGCGCTCTTCTTTGTAACTGGCTATGTGTAATAAACATTTCTCGCCGCCAGTGTCTGTATGTTGCCGTTGGTTTCTAATGTTCCTGGAAAATGAATTTACAGGTGTAGGGACAGGTCGCAACCACGAGCTGCCGCGGCCAACGATCTTATCTCGGGCCCGGGGATGGCAAGATTGTTCGGAACATGCGACGTCTCAGTCTAATGAGAGCCTATTTGTGCAGACGGATACCTACGTGATTAACATTTTACAACGCTCGTTTGTAAAACAAGAGGTAAGTAGGTAAATGCCATTCTACGGTCAATGTTCGCCGGACCATTTGGTTTTGCACACGTGAGGCTACTGTCTGTGACCAGGTAGGCCTAAATGCGAAAGCCGAATCACGCTGTTTCGCTGTTTCGCCCATCATCAAACTTGATAAAGAATAAAGGCCGGATTCGATGTCTTCCGGACGACGAAGATTCTACTGCGTCCGACCAATGGCGAATTCGGTAGCTGCGGCCCGCAGCCAAGCCCCGGGCCCCGCCGACCTCAAACGGCATTGGCCAGACGACGTAGAAGAATCCGGCCAAAAATAGGCGGCGTTTTCAATTGAAATTGAAGATTCAAAGAGGATTGCAAAATCTCAAGATGGATGGAATAGTGCTATTGATACGACCAGTAGTTACTGCTCTTGCACGGCTAGCAGTGGAATAAATTATTTTTAGCAGTGCTTTAACTGGTTAGTCTGCTGCAAATATGACGCACATACGATGAATTGGCGGCACATTATTGGCGGACTGGCGCGATAAAAAAAAAAAAAAAAAAATACATATTTGATAATATTGGGGTCAGAAGGCAGTTACGGGAGCGGAAGGACGTGTGATCGGAAAGCTCTTGATTGTGATCGGCGAGGCCGGGAAGAAGGAAGAGGACTATTTAAGTCCAATTTGTTTTTGTTTATTCAATTCTTTTGGAGAAGCATCCATTTTTCTTTTTCTTCCATTTCGTTTTGATTAATTGTCGGGTGGAATCTCGGCCACGTGGTGAGTCACAATCGCCTCAATGAGTGATTGGGATCCATTGCGGAAGTGTAGGCTGGTGTGTAAATGATGGGGACATGTCAGATCAGTCACTCACAGGGCAGGCGGGCTAGCATACAGTTTTCTTAAGTCGACGGTGTGCCGGTCCCCCAAGTTTATGCTTTTTCTCTTAACCACACATATACGCCCCGTTATTGAATATTGTTCTTGCGTCTGGAACACCGGATATGTCCAGGACCTTAAGCTACTGGAAAGTGTGCAGCGAAGATGGACTAAACGCATCTCCGGTATGCAGTCCTTATCCTATGGCCCGACTGGAAAAAATGCACGCTTTCGTCGAGAACTCGAGCGTAGTTGGGCGTTTGCGCCGAAAATTTTCGGCGTACTTCGGCGTAAATCGACGGCTTGCGCCGAAATTTTCGGCGTACTTCGGCGTAAATCGCGAAAAAGCCGTCAGGGGGGTGGCACCAACCCCCCTCGGCCGGCGAGGACTAAATGTCTTCGGGAGTTAAACATCTTAAATATCACTTATCTTGTCTCGTGTTCGTCTCAGGGTATTTAAGTCATGTTCAGTGAACCTGATTGTGACTCTCCCACGGCGGGAACAGTTCACCGGTCGAGAGTGAGGTTATGGTTATGGATTGTCGGATTCCCTAGTTCAGATAACGTATGCTATCGTGTGCGTATTGACCGTTGTGATTCCTGTATTTCCGGCGTGTGGTTTGCGAGCGGACGCTGGCAATCGGTCCCGCGTGGCCTGGTATCTGCCCGATCCTATCGGCCGTGCTTGCACCACGCCCATGTTGAAGGCCTCGTCAGGCGTCAGTTACCGGTTGGGCACTACTGCTGACCAGAGCCGGGCAACAAAATAAAGGTTACATTATGGAACATGCCAGTGAGTTTGTGAGTCAGGAGATTTTGTGATAGCGAACGCTGGTGCTCGGTCCCGCATGGCCTGCTGATGTTTATTGTCTGCCCGATCCCGTCGACCGTGCCAACAACTGTCTGTAGACAGTAGTCACTGGAAGACAGCCACACACACACGCCAGCCCCCCCCCCCTCGACGAAAAGTGCGTGGCTACAGCCTGCAGCCATCAGTAAGCCTTGAAAATTTTCGGCGCATGAAGCATGGCTTGGTAAAATAATTCCGGCGCATAAACCCTTGCGCCGAAATTTCGGCGCATCACCTCCGCCGAGAACTTCAGCGTAGTGGAGGCATTTTTTCCAGTCGGGTCCTATGGTGACAGACTGAGAGCCCTAAACCTCTACTCGGTCCAGGGAAGGCTGCTCCGTGCTGACCTCATTCAATGCTGGAAAATTTTTCATGGTAAGTCGATCATCAAGCCAGCTGACTTGTTCTTACAGCCTCCTCAATCTCGGACCCGAGGTCACTGCTACAAAATTTTTCCCTCGACCTTGCGAACCGATGTAAGGAAGCGCTCGTTCTCTCGTAGGTGTATATCTGTATGGAACTCTCTCTCTGCGGAAGCTGTATGCGCGGACAATGTATCGCGATTTAAAGGAAAACTAGACAGTGAACTGAATGACTCATTGTACTGTTTCTCGTAATGGCTGATACCATGTCTTACTGTCTCATCTTAGGAAACTAGTATATGCTACATGTCAATTACTGTTGTGAGGCGCACATTTCCAGACAGTTTATTTATGATTGTGCTCATAGGACATTCCAGCACTACTGTTTGGCGCGCCTTATGTTTCTGGGGTTCCGTAGTCCACTCCCTGCCTCAACTTCCTAAATTGCCATTCCCTCACAGTCGGACATTGGAACCCAACCAGGTAAGTAAACCAGGTAAGTAAGTAAACCCAGAGCTACAAAGAGGTCTAGAGTAGATAACATGAGAGAGACCTTTTGGGGTGATGAGGACTCGGGATTATACCTGAGTGTCACCCTGAAGTCAGGAAGTCCGATCAAGGGCAAAGGCTGGCCTTGGGTTCAGACTTGTATTAGGGGCATCTTAGGAGGACAAGACCGAGTATCAAAGGCGACATTTCAGAATGATGGGAGTCTGTTGCTGAAAACAAAAAATGAAAGGCAATCTGACAGACTGCTGAAAGCGACAATGTTCGGAAGTGAGGAGTGCAGTGTTCAGAAAGCAGAGAAACTTAACACGAGCAAAGGCACTATCTATGCCTTTGACCTGACTGAACTTACCGAACAGGAGGTAGTGGGATGGCTCCAGGAGTTTGGAGTGGTTGGAGCGAAACGGGTGACAAGGAGGGTGGGAACTCACAGGGAAAACACCCCTCTGCTCATCCTGACATTTGACAAGCCAACGTGCCCAACACAACTACATTTTGATTATGTGTCCTATGAGGTGCGAAGGTACATTCCTAACCCTCTGCTCTGCAATCAGTGTGGCAAATATGGTCATGTTCAGGCCAAGTGCAAAAGTGTTGCCTTATGTCTGAAGTGTGGGGGTGAGAAACATGAAGGGGACTGCTCCCCCAAATGCATTAACTGTACTTCTGATGACAGACATCCTTGTTACTCCCATGACTGCCCAGTCTGGAGAAAGGAAAAGGAGGTGTGTGAAATCAAAGTAACACAGGATATTTCATACGCTCATGCTCGGAGGGAGTATGAGAAAAAGCACCAAAGACCCACAACACCGGCATATTCCACTATACTTCAGACATCACCGACCACACAGCAACAGAACCACCTGGATACTTCTCTGAGGGAGCGGGTTGATGTACTGGAAACAAAGGTGGATAAGATGCTGTCCCTTCTCAACAAACTGGCGAGTCAGGCAGGGGTTAACACCTCTGATGAGACACTCCAGATCCCAAACCGAGAACCTGAACTGAGAGACTGTGTCCCAACCCCTGCACAACTACCACGTGAGGTGGGAGACAGCATGGCTGAGGACAATCCTACTCCAGGTAGTGGAAATGGGAGTTGTCAAAATGCCCAGGTCGATGTAGAGACTGACACCTCTGATGACATGGAGGATGGGGAAAGCCAAGAGATTGGCAAAAAGGGAGTACACTGGACCAAAGTGGACCGTCATAGTAGAGATAGGAATAGAGGTGGAGGAAAAGGCAAACATCCAACATCCCAAATGCATCCATCGTCTCAAGAAGAGACTAGAGGAAAACAGGAACCACTCACTGAACAGAGGACGAAGAAACGAATGCCCAGTCTCACTAGGATGGGCACCCCACCCACCTAGTGGAAGGCCAGGCAGTAGAAAGGCTGTATATAGTGCAGAGCATCAACAAGTTTTTAGTGTTGAATTGTGTCTTGGTTGACAGTGCACATTGCACTGAATGGTACATACATCACACAGATAGTGTGCACAATGCATATATGTTCCCATTGTGGAAGCTTTGGTTTGAAGTGGTATGTATTTATTTGATGATAAGTTACACCTTTAGTTTTTTCAATGGGTCTTAGCATCCTACAATGGAATGCACGAGGGCTCATTGGCAAATGGGCCGAGGCAAAACCCATGTTCATGCATGGTAACTTCAGCCTCATATGTATTCAAGAGACTCATTTCATGATGAATGACAGGTATACTTTCCGATTACCTGGATTTTCTGCGTATCATGAATACTCACGTCAAGGAGGACGGGGTGGAGGAGTGTCTATATATGTGTCTAACAACTTGTCACACTTCCAGGTACAGGTACACACTACATTACAGGCAGTGGTATGTTCGATACGGGTCCAAAACAGACGAATTGCGATCTGTTCATTGTATCTTCCACCGAATGAGACCTTTTCTTTTACTGAGATGGACCAGTTGATCAAAGAGCTTCCTAAGCCCTTTGTCATTTGCACGGATGCCAACAGCAAACATATGATGTGGGGTAGCCAAATAAATGACACTCGAGGCAATATCTGGATGGATGTGATTAACTTGAATACCTTGTGCGTGCTGAACGATGGTCAACCAACTAGAATTGACGACTTTACAGGACACGAGTCATTTATTGACTTAACTGTCACAACAAGCGACATTGCTCCCCTGATGGAATGGAATACTGACAAGGACCTTCATTCAAGTGACCATTTCCCCATACACATTAGAATGGGTTCTGATACAGGAGCACCACCTCCAAATGTTCCACCTTTATTTTCAGGTTGGAATGTTAAGCGAGCAGATTGGACTGAGTTTCAGAGGCACTTTTCTTTTAAGTTTGATAGCAGAAATGGTGTTGAGAATTGTGACAACATGGTGGCAGCGATGCTGGAAACGGCCACCCAATTTATTCCCACCCGAAACTGTAACACTAGATACAAATGTCCATGGTGGAATGACCAATGCCGAAATGCCATTAGGGAGAGAAGGCGTGCTCAGAATCGAATGAGGAGAGACCCACACTCTGAGTTTCTGCGAATTGAATATCGTCGAGCCAAAGCAAAGGCTCATCGCACAATCCGTGAGGCTAAGGTAACTTCATGGAGGGAGCTCATATCGATGTTTAACCACCGAACACCAATGAATAAGCTATGGGAGACGCTTCGGAAATTTAACTACAAAGGTCGCATATCCCGACAATACCCGGTACTGTTTGAAAATGATGCAACAATCGATGATCCTCTTGAGGTGGCTAACACGTTTGGACGTTTCTTTGCTGGTCTGAGTGGACGTTCTATGTACTCTGATGTATTTTTACAACGAGAACGGACACTTGTTGATTCCATGCCGGACTTTGGGAGTGAGAACACCGAAGACTATAATAAAGAGTTTTCGTTCCGTGAACTGACTAATGCAATATCTAGATCAGGTTCTACTTCAGTTGGGCCGGATAAAGTGCACTATGAATTTTTCAAGCACATGGATGAAGGGCAATTGCGAGAACTGTTGGCACTTTTCAACTTTTTGTGGCTAAACAATGTTTTCCCACAAACATGGAAACATTCGTATGTTGTTCCTATATTGAAGCCGGGCAAGGACTGTAACAAAGTCAAATCATATCGACCTATTCAGTTAACTTCTGTTTTGTGCAAACTGATGGAAAGAATGATCGGGAAGAGACTGAGCTGGTATCTAGAGAGGTTTTGCCTGCTATCTAGGTTCCAGTGTGCCTTTCGGGAGAACAGGAGCACAATGGACCACTTGCTACGACTGGAGTCCCAGATTCGAGATGGATTCCTCCATCATAGCACTACAATTGGAATTTTTCTCGATTTAAAATCGGCATACAACATGGTGTCTCCTACTATGCTCATGCATCGTCTTTTTGATATGGGTTTTCGAGGACACTTGATGTACTTTGTCCAATCGTACCTAAGTCGACGAACGTTTCAGGTTCGATGTGGTGTGTTATCGGACACATTCTCTCAAGAATACGGACTTGTGCAGGGTGGGGTGTTATCGCCAATGCTTTTTAACATTGCTATTAACTCGATGTTTAATGATATCCCTCGCGGTGTCTCCTATGCCATCTATGCTGATGATTGCACGATTTGGACACAGGGTAGACGCCTACCTGAACTGTTTCACACATGTCAACAGGCTCTGCACAAAGTTGGTGAATGGGCGCTTAACAATGGATTTTCATTCTCAGCAGAAAAATCCACAGCGGTCATGTTCAGACGTGGATTAAGACATGTTGACCTGGGGTCTTACCCCACCCTTGTGATCAACAATGCAACCATTCCTTTTGCTGAACAGGTTAGATACCTGGGAGTTTTGCTAGACAGCAAACTAAACCTTAGAGCGCATGTAGAGTATACGAAAGCGAGGGCACAGAAACGAATCGCTCTTCTCAAATGTGTATCAGGCAAATCCTTTGGCGCTGATCGAGTGATTCTCCTTCGAATGTATAAAGCTCTAATTCGTCCTATTCTCGATTATGCTGCAGTGCTACTAGATGGGCCGGGCAGTCGCATTATTGATTCACTTGAGTGCGTACAGAACACAGCACTACGTATTGCGACTGGAGCACTGCGAACCAGCCCTGTACGATCATTGCAGGTTGAAACCAACGTGGTTCCTCTTAGCCTCAGGAGGCAAGACCTATCCCTAAGATATTATCTCAAGGTACAGGGAGACATTCGACATCCATGTCGCAAAGTGGTTGATATGGAGAGCAACCAACACGTGTATGAAGGATTATCGGAACATTATATGAGAAGGATCTCTGGATTTCCTGTTTCACATAGGTTGTCCACCATGTGCAGGGAACTTGGTCTCCGATTACCACGAAACACGGTGAACCCACGTGGACTAATACCCCCCTGGCTCTTACCTGACGTTACCACGATGATGTTACTCAATGGCACGAGACACATGACAGAAACGGACATACATTTAGCGTTCCAAGATGTGCTTGCACAATATCCAGGTTTCCGGAGATTCTACACTGACGGTTCTAAGATTGATGGATCGACTGGTTGTGCTTTTACAGTGAATAATGCTTTCTTTTCCCACAAACTGGAGCCATGGATGTCTGTGTTTACTGCGGAGTTGGTGGCCATACGCGAAGCGCTTCGTTTCATTTCGGATCATCGGGTTGACAAAGCAATGATCTGCTCGGACTCGCAATCCGCGATACGTGCTATAGCGTCTCACAATCGAGAACATTGCATTGTCATAGAGATTTCTGAGATTCTTTACCAGCTCTCACGTGATCGACGCCAATGTATCTTTCTGTGGATACCAGGACACAGTGGTGTAGCAGGCAATGTAAGAGCCGATCATTGGGCCAGAATGTCTCACCAGAAACCGAATGTCACACATGTTAATGCAGGGTACAGAGAGTTTCTGCCCATGGTACGCAAGAGTACCAAAGATAAGTTCGCTGAGATATGGCACGATTACCGCCCGACGCTCCTTAAAGAGGTTAAGCCAAATGTCGGCCAATGGATGTCGAGTTCCCGCAGTAATCGTAGAGAAGAAATCATACTGACGAGGATGCGATTAGGCCACACTCTTCTTACTCACAGACACATTCTTGATCGCGAACCTCCACCGATATGTGACTGTTGCCGATGTGCACTTGACGTTCCGCACATCTTGCTGCATTGTCGGAAATTCTGTGCCGAAAGACGGAACCTGGAAATAGAATGTCTCATATCCAATGTCCAGATGAATGTGGGATCTCTACTGGGAAATGAATTTCCCTTGATCACTGATGCTGTGTTTGCATATCTTACTGAATGCGGTGTTGCTCAGAGATTGTGAGACGATGTGATAAGCACTGTGATCTTGTGATGTCCAACACTGCTGTGACTTATTGGTGAACTAATTAGAGTGCGTGTTATCGATGCTCTGTATTGATTGTGTCTGTAGTTTAGTTAGAAAATAGTCAGTTTTCACTCCCAAGTAGTTGTTCTAGAATCTACCGTATCCAGACCACCTCTTTGGTCTATGTAGCCTAGCTGAAACCCCAGTAGTGTAACCAGGATGCCACAACTACGGCCGAAAACTAACCGTTTCTGCCTCCGGCAGAGACCTTCATGTCTACATCCTCCCAAAGCAAGTCCACACCACGGCTATACCTATCCTAAATCCGTAACCCTGCTTAGTCACCCTGCTTAGTTCCCTTTACCCATTAAGAAGAAAAGAAGAAGAAAGACTGCCATCAAAAGAAGTTGGACGCAAGAGCCAAGCTGCTACGCGCCCTAACCCAGAACAACAACAACAACAGCGATAAAAAATAATATTTCTATGAACGCGCGACAATTACGGGCTATGCTATCTTGATCTAATAAATTATAAACCAATCTAAACGGGTAAGTAAAAATAATATTTGCTTGAAGTTGTATGATTTCGTGTTGGTATTTTTTTTTTTAGTGTATAGGTACTTGGCTACTTGCTTCGTGGACGTTGTTTTCGGCAAGGCTAGTTTTCGGTGATGCATTTGTATATTTGTTTTTCTTCATTCGTTTGTCTGTTTATTTGTTTATTTGTTTTGTCCCATTGTGCATATTTGTTTTTTCTGTTGACTGCTGCTAACACGCACGTAGTGCATTGAGCTGTGTGTTGCGAGCAGAAATATGCCATGTATTCCAATGAGAGTTGCTTAGACCGGAGAAATGATTCGAACACTTAAAAGCTGTTCCAGCCCTTAGTGTAGGCCCCGCCAAATTCAGATCTTTTAGCCCTTATTCAGCCCAATTTGGATATAAAATGCTAGGAGTAAACTTGAGGTTACTTTACCCCAAATGGCAAACATGAACAATAAAAACTGTTTGTTTTTGCCTTTTATAGCCAAGTATTTGCTGAATTTGGGCTGGGTTACAGGCAGACTTTGAGTTTATATAGTGTGAGTTCATTTCTGCAGCATCTAAACAGCAGCTTATTCACAAATATGAAATAGCAAACATATGTCTTCCAGAAGATCAATATTTGCAAATATCAACATTGATGTGCTGCTAAGTTTATTTTAATTTCTCATAAAAACTTGATGTTGGCTGCCAGCTGGTGGGTAGTCAAGGAATCCTCATTACTTGAAAGCTTGTGCACACTCAACTTTTAGTGCCACAAGTCACAACACAACAAGTCATTAATGAAATACATAATTCAGCATTTCCATATCGTCCGACAAATTGAGCATGCTAAATAGTAAAGCTTAATTCATTCTTTTAATTTATTATGTATCTGCCCACATTTAATTAGAAGATTTAGAAAGGTTTGGGATGCAGTTTTCCATGGATGGAACCAAGGATGGAACATAAGTCGTGTCTTATGCATTGCTTACCTTCCTTGTAGGTCCTCTAACTTTTTAGAGTTTGCTTCAGTAATTTGAATCACAGTGAAATTTAAACCAGACTTTATTTCAAATTGACATTGACATGATATTTTTCAAGATATGAGATTATGAAAGAGCTTTGTCAATTTTCTATAGGTTCTGTGGAAGGTACAAATGCCCTCAACTGCCCCTTTGGATCTACTAGTGGGGCAGCAGTGCGGCATAGACATATGTGAAACTGGCCGGTCTCTTTGTCTTTCAACACCATGGATGCTTCTCTTTTGTGTTCTTTATAATACAACATTTTGTTCAATGTTAAAAGACTTATCATAATCTGTAGGCTAGGTATGGCTTGTATCATGGTCTGTAGGTATTTGATGGGTGTCTGCCTTTCCAGAGTATAACAATGGAGGTGGAGCAGGACCATAGTTTCCTGGGTCCGATCACTTCCCTGTGTTGTCATCTGACAGTCGGTCAGAATCCGGCGGACGCACCAGCCATCACCACTCAACAGCTTAAGAAGATCAGGGCCAATGCACTAAATAATATTTTGTTCCCAGATGCATCTAAAAATGGTAAGAACTGAGGGGCATAGAACTTGGATGTCTTTTGTATGAGACATTTACTACGTACTAAATGTTAAATGCAATTATGCATAACTAGTTGTGCGTTTGTGGTATGCCAGTTACCCACATATAGGTAGTCTGCTGTTCTTCCTGGTCTTTTCCTGTAGCAATGTTTTTTTTTGTTGTTGACCGTATTAAATCAAACTTGCAAAGATGTTTGAACTTTGATCTGAGCCAGCTGTGTGACCAAACCCCCACCATCCCTCCCCAGCAGCCAGCGCGCCGGTCTCGGAGCTGTGCCGTCTGCACGGCGTCTGGTTTCTGCTCCACTCGGCTGGTCAGCAGGAGCCGGCCGCCCGGCTGCACGGCCTGCTGGAGAGGCTGGGAACCGACCCGCCGCCGGCCGTGCGGGCCGTGCTGCGACTGCTGCTGGCCCTCGCCGACCGTCGGCTGGGACAACAGCCGCCGCCGGCGCCGCTGGGACGCTTCGGCACGCGCGTCAGCTACGAGGTGGGTGGGAGTCGCGGGGGATGATGGAGGGCAGAGTTTAGATTAATGATGGAGAGGGTGTGATGTGTAACAACGCGTTGCTGCTGGTAGAGGAAGGGTAGACAATGCTGCGGGATGCACATTTTTACAGATTTAATCAATTTATCTATGGAATTACGTTTTGTTACGGATTCGCGATGGAAGTGATAACAAGTGCCAATAACGGGTTATTTAACAAGTTACATGACGTACCCCCAACAGTGCACCAGCTCCTTACCCACCTCTCTGCTCGCCAGGCGCCATGGCAGCGCGGCCCGCCCGTCTACAGTACCGAGTATATGGCGCCGGAGGATTCGCGCCATTTCATGGAGTACCCGGCGCGCGCCTTTGCCGCCGACCCGCGCCTCCCGTCGGACGGCGCGCCGCCGGCGGGGCTGTTTGACCTGCCGCCCGGTCAGGGGGTCAACATGTTCGGCCAGTCACTGCTCTCGGAGCCCGGAGGGTGAGTGGAAAATGATGGTGGGGTGGGGCTGGGAGGGTGTCTGTTTTTTTTTCTTTTTTACTGATGTCTTTCGCGTGCAATTGAGATGAAGTTGTGTTCACAAGCCAGACAATGATTCTTATTTTGTGTTCCATTTTAATGAGCTGGAATTTGCGAGTTATGAAACGAAATTCAGTAGTGTTCTTAATTTTTTGTGCATTTCAACAGGTCCAACCAGTATTCGCGGGTCAAAGTTGTGTTTTCTAAGCAATATGTAGAGGCTCTCACCTTGTAGTTAATGTAACGAACACTTTGGCTACTCAATACCGAATTAAACTCGCTTCCAAAGGCCTTTTTGCCACACTCGTGTCGCCGCAACCTAACCCCGTTGTGTTTTCTCGGCAGACCGCTAGGGGCGCTGGTACAGAGCCGCAGCACGGCCGGCCCTGGGGAGCGGCTCCGCCTGCCTCCCCTGCCGGCCGACCCGCGTCGCGTGCCGTTTGCGCCGGAGACCCTGATCCGGGAGGCACCCACGACGGCCCTGTCCCGGTCCCGGCCCCGACAGAAGGGCGGGAGCAGGACGCCAGAGCGGGGAACGGAGGTGAGACGGGGGGTCGGGGTGCGTTAGGGAGGGCTAAATTGGTGAAATAGTTTGACGATGTATTTTCATCCTGATGTAACGATGTTTTTCGAAGGTTTTGTCAGGCCGTGAGTCTATTGTATTTTCAATTATAAAGACATAGAACTATAGAAACTATACCATATGTAAGAACTTTGATGGCCTCGGAACGATACGTTTTATCCTATTACTACTTGATTTAAACCGCGCTCTCTTGTTCGACAGACCCCTCTCCCGTCCGCCCGGAGCCCTTCACCGGCCGGCTCTGACGCCCCAGACAGCTGGGAGGCGGCGGCGCGCGGCCCGCCCACCAGCGGCCGGCTGTGCTGGGAGCAGCGCGGCCGGCGCCAGTACCGCCGCCAGCCGCCGCCGCTCACCCAGGCCGGCCCGGCGGCGGTTCCTCTGCTGCGGCGACTGCTGCTCAGCTGGGGAGGCGCCACCGTCACCGCCCCACAGCCGCTGCCGGTGGAGCAGCTGCTCGCCCAGCTGCGGCTCATGATGATGGGACTGGACACGGAGAGTTTTCCGTATGACCCGGCAGCCGGTACGTTCCGGGTGGCCGATGGTCTCTGCACGGAGCGCTGCAGTCCGGAGGCGGTGGCGGCGCGCTGCGGCGCCTGGGTAAGCTGCGGTTCGCGCTGCCGCCGCGTGGCAGCGCTGGTGGCGGCCGGAGGGAGTGGATGTCTCACGGAGCGGGCGTTCGCCACTGCTGTGGAGCCGTGTCTGCGAGGATACCGCGCTGCGCTGGCGGAGGTTCGGGCGGACACACTCGCTGAGTTCGGCCGCCGTGTACGGCCGCTGGTCAGACTCATGGCGCTGCTGGCCGATGTGTGCTGCGTCACAACTAGTGATTCGGAGCTGCCGCAAAAGATGGCGCTGGTGTCGCACCTGTACGAGCGCCTGGTGGGGGCGTCTGAGCGCGCAGAGTGGGCTCTGACGGCACACCTGTTCAGAACCACTGTGGCGCCATACCTGGGGTAAGTGTGTAGCGGACTTTTAGGCATTTTGGATTCTCTGATGACACTTTTTGGCTAATTGGCTATCTCATTAGTCATTGACATGACACTGCATTTGATTGTTAATCGTAGATTTAGAGTTCCAATGAAGCTGTTTTTTTTTTTTTTGAGGCATGACATTTGCCCTATTTACTTACATCTGCTGCCACCACTTTCCCATTCAGATAGCACTCTTCACCGTCATGTAGTTACCTGCCTTCCCGTCCCCAGGTTCCTGACGGGCTGGCTGCTGGAGGGCGTCTGCCGGGACCCGTACGATGAGTTCCCGGTCCGCCAGCTGCCGGCCGCTGCCAGTACTACAGACGAGACGTTCTGGACGTCTGCCTACGAGCAGGTGCCCGGGGGCACCGACAACGACCACCCCAGCTTCCTGAAGGTGCGTCGGCTTACGTAGTCAGTCAAGGGTAGCTTAGTGCGGGGTTCCACTTTAGGTTGATTAACCCTAGAACGCCTGGGGGGGGGGGTTGTATCAACCCCCCCCCCTGAGGTTTTTTCGAAGTGCACGCTAAACGGCTTGTCGTAGCGGGCTGAAATTTTCAATACCCTCTGGGGCAACCTTTGCGCATCTTTTGCCGAAAAAAAATTGATCGGGTCATGTCAGGTCACGGAGTTATGACGTCATAAGAGGTACAGCCTCCGGCCGGATTTTCACAAACTGAGTGCCAACGCCCGAGGTTTCCTGCCGGTGGTACGGACATCGGTTGATGGATCGTGATGAAACTTCCCATGCATGTTGGGGCAAGTATTGGCTATCATATGGTATAAGAAATTTGACCGGGTCAGGTCAGGTCACGGAGCTATGACGTCACAAGAGGAACAGCGTCCGGTACTATTTTTGAAAAGCGCCCGAACCACTATTTTGCTAATTCTTGTCATCTCAATGGGAATATGCAGCAATATTAGCTTCTATAGGGAGCAAATGGACCTCCCAAATCCAAAAATACAATCAGATTTCAAAAATTTAAATTTTGATTTTTCGAATTTCTGCCGCCGACTGTGACCTTGCCGACTTCCGGCGCTCCCAACGCGCCATTTTTAGAGCTAGGGAAACGAAATACATACCAAACGATAGAGAATTGATCAAGAAACACGATAGTGAAGGTTTCAAGTCGATATCTCCCACCGTTTTGCCGCAATCGCCGCGGAAAGTTGAAAAAAGTCTATTTTTCCGAAAATTTGACCTTTGACCGGTCAAAAGTAGGTCAAATGTTGACCTAGGACCAAAAAATATACCACCAATCGCGAGATCTCGTTGAGAGCAATCCGTTGATTTTTTCCGCTAAGCTCTACGACCTTCCGTTTCGAAACGCCAGGGGGGGGGGTCGTAACAACCCCCCCCCCCCTGGTCGTTCGTGTTATGAGAAATGGCCTGGTCGTGCGAGGGTTAAGGGATTAATTGCCATTGGGATGGTGCTGCTTTCAACGATGTCCGAGAGTTGCAGTATGATTGGCAGATTGTCATGGTGTTTTGCTCAGATGTGCATTATTACACTGAGTGTCCAATCCATGGGTCCTTTGATCCCAGATTTATCTAAGCTTTAACCCTATTAGTGGCAGGCTCCTGGCTACCCCATATTAGTGGCAGGGGGGGGGGGGGCTGTTTACGACCCCCCCTTGATATCTCGAGATCTAACGGGCCGATTTTCAAAATTCAAACGGCATTCGATTTGGCTCAACGAGATCTACATTTCTAAAAAAAAATTAAAAAATGTCAATAGGGGGGTAGAGGGGGGTAAAAACGGGCAAATTGCAGATATATTTTAGACTGTTTATCACGGCCAGGTTTCTGAACCAATCTTAACGCAACTTTTGCCGATCGATAGAGAATGAACCAGGAATTCACATGGATCCTAAAAGATGCATTTTCAAAAATCATAGGCGGATACAGATCATTGAGATTGGGGGTACACAAAAAGTATAGTAAATAAGGTTTTTGTTGGTACTGTTTCTAAAAAGGGTGGCAATGGTCTTGTTATGTTACAATTTTCTTATGAGAGAACGACTAAAATTGTATTGGTCATGCATAGGCGGTGTCAGGGCACCTATGTTGGGAGGTAAAAAATAACCCCCCTTTTTGGACGCCTGGATCCGCCTATTATAGCAAAAACGTGTCAAAAGAGGATGCACAATAACTTTGTATATGTTATCACATGATACCTTTCATTCACTGTTCGTAAAACTGGTGCAGCATCGTGATCTTCGCCCAAATGACTCGCTTCACGAATAGGACCCCCCAATTCCCGGTGCTCTGGAGCCGCCCCTGGTAAAGTTATGAACTTGAAATTTTCAGGGAATGTGCCCAATTTAGTTTTAGGAAAAGTCAGAAAATTTCAGCATCGTAGCTTCAGCGGTTTCGGAGATATTCCCGAAAAACCTGAGGGGTGGATAAAAACAACCCCCCCTGCCACTAATAGGGTTAAGTACAGCATGACAGACACGTCAGCAAAACCGACGGTGTGTCATTCGTCTGCAATGCACACATTGCCGGACTTCCCTGCATCTGACCGCCCCACCTCCCCATTCGCCCGCTCAGAACCTCTCTGTGGGTATGTACCAGTGTGGCAAGGCGCTGAGCCTGCTGCGACTGTGTGACTCGGGACACCCGCTGGTGCAGCCGCCGGCCGATCTCCGAGTCCGGCTGGCCTTCAGTCTGACCGAGCTGGGGGAGATTGAACACCAGGTGGTCAGGTGAGGATTTTGGGATGAAGGTAATTGTAGTTTGACGCACTCTGAGGTAGGATTAAAACTAAGGGGTTAGTGGTTTAGTTGCGGCGTTCAAAACATATTTGATTGAGGGATTCGACGTCTGATGGGAAGGCATTGGACAAAACCCCTGTTTTCTATAGCTCCGATTTACTGAGCCTGCCTGCCTGCTATGTTTTATCACTTATTCTAAAACCTGTGTCACGCTTAGCACTGGACCGCTTGTTTCTCAGTTTCGTATTGAACAGCCAATAACGTGACCGTCTATATCCGGCAGTTACGAGGCGGCGATGCAGTGTCACGTGGCCAACACTCTGTCTCGTCAGCTGTCTGAGCAGCGTCACCAGGAGCAGGAGCTGGAGCGGTCGGCCGGCCGGCGGCGCCAGTCGGCCATCAGCTCCATACAGGGTAAGTACGCAGACCAGATCCTGACAGGGTATGAACGAGAACCAGCTCCGTACAGGGTGTGTACGAGAACCATATCCATACAGGCCGGCGACGCCAGTCGGCCATCAGCTCCATACAGGGTGCGTATACGAGAAACACGGCTCCATACAGGGTCCATACGAGAACCATATCCATACAGGGTGCGTACGAGAACAACGGCTGTTGTTGTTGTTGTTGGTTTTCCTCCCGGTCACCGCCGAGACGGTGACGGAGCCACGCGGCTCTTGTGGGCCGCGTAGCCGGCGGCCAAGGCCGCCACCACGTCGTCGCGCTGGACGTCTCGGGCCGTGCCTGTGATATTACCCACTCCAGCGCACGGAGGCGGGGGCCGAACAGGCATGGGCACTGGCTCCATACAGGGTATGAACGCAAACTGCGGCTCCATACAGAGTGTGAACGCGAACCACGGCACTCGTACGGCGCTACAACGTGCAATCATCAGTTCACCGCTGGGCAGTGAGTTGGGAAAGACGCCACGAACTGGATCCCCCCAGACCGACAGGCTATAACTTTCGAGCGGTGTAGTGAGAGCATCAGCTACGACAGACAGATTCGAGTGTAGGCCTCCGTATACGATATACAGGACCTCAACAGCCTGCTCGATGAGACAGCCTGCTACCAGCTGCTCGATCTCAGCGATTCCTTTAAACATTCGCTAGCTTCTCGTTGTGTTTGCATACGTCTGTCAATATTTCACTACGTAGCACCACTATCGTCTGCCTTTTTTGCAGTCCGTATTATAAAAACTAACTTTTGCCATTTCTAGGGATTCAAGCCAAGTGTTTATAGCGTTCTGCAGTCTTCATGGCTTCATTCGGATGAATTATTGACCTACCATTTCCTGAAGGTTCTTAACTTCATTTAGCTGATGTGTTAAAAAAAGTACTTGTACACACTTCTTCTGATGTCACTAGGTCCGGTGACAGGCCGTAGCAGACATCAGTTACCGAAGTTCAGCCCTCGAATTAACTTATTTCTGTTTGAGTTTGCTGACAGCTGAACGCCGTCTCGGCTTTTGTTATGTTCATTTGTTTTCAAGCAGCGCAGTCAATATGTGTTCCTCGGGAAGTTTCTTTACAGTTTGTGCCAGTACTTTCCAAGTACTGCGCACACCAGTTCCCAGACAAGTTTGTGTTTCAAAACAGCTTGCACGCTCTAGGATTTGCCTGATGTTTTGACCGGTCGCTACACATCGCCCATACAACATTTGATAGAGCGTGATGTTTACTTAGAGCATAAACAACTTCAAGTATCTGCAAGATGCGTGGTCCTCTGTCGCTGTCACTTCCCTAGATTACGTTTGTAGTCACATTTTTCTCGGTTTTCCCTCTGGCTTCCATATAGCTTCTTCTTGTATGGCACCGTTTCCATTTTGTATTTTCGCTGTACAAACAAGGTGATCTTGATCTTTTGTGTATGAAAGCTACCATTGGCATCATATTTAAAGAAAATTTAGTTTTCATGTGTGGTTAAATCAGTTTGTCGCTTTTTCGATGAAAATTTCTCCCTTACAATTCAAACATTATCATCATCATCATCATCATCATCATTTATTTCGATTGGAATACATGGCTTTTCAGTCGAAAAGTCAAGTGCAGAAAGTTCATACCTGCAGGCACAGGACAAATCATAAAACATCGCGCCATATTAAAAAAAAAAACATTACATCAAATTGATATCACGCTATCGATCATTGCGCAGAGACGATGCTGGCGCAGCGGCGGCGGCGCGCCGACCAGAAGCGGCTGCTGCTGGAGGAGCAGCTGCAGGACGTGGAGCGCAGCCGACAGCTGCAGCGGCAGCTGCGGCTGCGGGACCGGCTGGAAACGGAGAGGGCAGAGGGCGAGAGGAGGCTGGACGAGATCACCGCCCTGAGGAGAGAGAACGAGACGAGGTGAGGAGGGGAGGGGAGAGAGGAGAGACAGAGGAGAGGGTGGATGGGATGAGGCAAGAGACTGGGATAACATGATAAAGACTCTTGAAGGTGCGGGAGACACGTCATCAACTTTGGAGAGAGACGGAGGGGAGTACGGTGTGCCTTCAACGATCGGTGTACTTCAACAATAACATGGTATGACGTCAAACGCTGCGGATTTATGTTATCTAATATGAAACTTGGATGTTGTGCTTTGGAACTTTGGAAGCTGTGGTGCTTTTTTGCATTGTTCATGCTATATAAGCCTGTTTTTATCAGAACTCTGCATCAGAAAAAAGTTCAGTGAAACACCACAATTTGAACATTAGTTTCGAAGCCAGTGTGGGAATGTTATGCGCATGCTGTTCTTAAAATCATTGAAAACAACATCACATTGAAAACGTTATCACAACCCGTTGCCGCATTTCGCTCGGTGGCATTTGCCGCAAATATGGCATTTCGCTCGGTGTTTGCTCTCTGCCGTGTCTGATTCTCTCCCCTCCTGACATCTCAGGTTGGCGCGTCTGCAGCGTCTCACCACGCCAGAACAACTGGCGGAGATGAGACGTCATCTGAAGCTGGATGAAGCAGAGAAGGATAAAACTGCCCTGACCTCCACCGCCGCCGGCACCGGCAAAGGAACTGACGAAGCCACCACCGCAGCCGACACCTCCGAACCGATGGTGACCAGCGCCGATCCGAGCCCCGACACGGAGACGGCGCCGACCGCGTCTCCCTCGGCGTCTCCCTCTGCGTCTCCCTCGGCGGAGACAACGACAGCGGCGTCTCCGAGCGGCGAGCCGACCTCTGAGAGCAGCTGTACGGACAGAACGGCCACAGGAGACACTGCTAACGACATCACAGAGAGGGTCCTGGACGGGGGCGCTAGCGAGGAGCGCACAGTGGACACAGTGGATAACGTGAAGGTGAATAAATCCACTCCGGGAGTCGCTGGTGAGACGAGTGGCAACGAAATCAAAACGACAGAGGTGATTGATAACAAACCAGGAGTTGACACGGAGGGAAACACAGACAACAGGACCAGTGATTCAACTAGCGACACCATCACAAGAGCTGATGACGCCTCCAACGCGAATGTCGCCCCGCTCTCGCCTGATGAGAACGCCAACGCTTCGAGCGACACGCTCACCACGGCTTCCCACGCGTCCGCCCTGGCCCGGACGGGTTCTGACGTCACACAGGCGACGTCTGACGTCACCCTGGCGGCGTCTGACGTCATCAGGGACACAGTGGACTCGTCTCCGTCCCGCGCGGCGCTGGCGGAGCGCAGGAGACTGATCCGGCGCAGAGCGCTGGGCGAGGATGGAGGCGTGGGTGGCGCCGGCACCGAGCCCGTCCTGGTGGATCAGATCGGTGGAGAGGTGAGGAAAGAGGGGTAGGATGAGGAAGAGAGGGAGGCCGGGAGAGAGTCGGACAAAACAAAAAAATGTGGAGGGGAAGGAAAAGAGGGATGGACCTGATGCCAGGCATTGATACGATGCATCTCCATTCAAACAATGCCTCATGATTTGATACAAATGATGACCAATGAACTCCTAAGTCAGAAAGCCCTGTAAATTCAAACAGCACCATCATCATCATAATATGATGCATCCCGGCGCGAGTACCATCTCTCAACACAAACCAATGTCTCCTCCCAGTCATGTGCTCCTCATGGGGTCAATATGTGTGCCAAATTTGCCGCCATGTACGGCTTTTGCCACCCGTCCGTCGGCTCAAAGGCTTCACGTGCTACGACTTACCGCGCCGTTGAAGAGCCGGGCCTCAGTGGGTTAACGAGCCGTCACATTATCCGCGTAAACTCTTCACCTCAGCCCCGGGGCCTGCCTGCGGGGGATATTTCATCAATGTTCAATATTCTACGGAGCTCGGAGCCCATATCGTTCGCTGCCAGTCCGGGGTGGAAAAGCTGAAGTTGTTCGTTGTTGGCATGCGGTGGTGCCATTAATTTTGACTTGGAGATATGACGCGACTGCGCTTTGATTGATGTTTGTAAGATGATCTGAGAAAATTGGGCGGTGATGAAATTTGTATGCTCAGTTAATGATTGAATTTCAAATTTCCCAAGTAAATGTCTCCTCCAGTTATCGCAGAAATATCATGATTTATGTTGTTGCCAGTTATGTTTCTGCTTATGTTTGGCTCAAAATTTGTATTAATTCTGCCTTTCCCGTTACAAATTTAATGTGACTAGAGGTTGTCACACATTTTTTTTCGCTGTTTGTCGTCTAACCTCCATTTTTCTCCCTTCTGGACAGGTGCTGCGGCGTCGTGGCCGCAACATCCACGGCCATGCCACGGACTCTGTCATCGAGCGACTTTTGTACCGCGGCGGCAGTGGCGCGGGCGCGGCGAGCGGCGGCGCGGCGGCGGCCAAAAGTGACGCGCCGGTGCCAACTCCCGGCCGCCGCCGACGGGTCACCCCCAGGACAGAGCACACGGTGGTGCGCTTCCAGCCACCCGACTTCACTGGTGAGAGGGGTGGATGGGGAAGAGGGAGATGTAGAAAGAGGTGTGGGCAGATGTGGTTTTGAGACCAAAGAATAATTCAGATTCTGCAGACACTAGCATTGATATTTCATACGTCAAAGCAGATGAGAACCGAGATCAAAGGTTGTCTTCTGTTAGGTCACCTTTACAATTGGATGCTCTTGAAGTCCGCATACATTCGAAAGGTTACATAAGTGTAGTTATTTTTATGCCATATTACTCATGGTATATTTGTAAATTGTGATATGGTCCTTTCTTGCAATTTCTCTTTCTGTAACCATCTACTTCTATTCCACGAATTATGTTTCTGATGACCATCCTGGGAAAATATCCTCGAATCAGCGCGCCGAGTTCCCCGCCAATTCTGGGCCATTGACAGTATCCTTTCACCGTCTTCTGTCAACAGGCGGCTGCGGTGGCCGTCAAATGCGTTTTATCGTCACTGTTTGCTCTCAATACAGTCGGCGTTTCCTGTTTGTCCCGCAGTACCCATGCTGCCACCGTCCGCGGCCGGGGGCGGCCACTCGACGGGAGAGGAGCGGATGGAGAGAGGGGCGGAGGAGCGGGAGAGAGGAGAGGAGGAGAGCCGACCTGAGCTGGGCGGCAGCAACCAGTTTACTCTGGCCGGATCTCTGCAGCACTCGGTGGCGCTGCTGCTCAATGCACAGTGAGTGGGGAGGTCACTTAATAGCTGTTGTTTGGTTACGCATGCAGCTGAGGGCAGAATATATAGTAAGGGAGATCGAAATAATATGTAATAATCATGCATGCTGTCATGCTATAAAGTTACCACCGAACTGATAAGGTTTGGCCGTGTAGAGCCCCAAATATTTTTCGTTTCTTTTCAGAAGCTATGTCGACTCTCATTTGATTCCCTTTCTCTTTCGTTGATTAGCATGATATGCTGATTTAATGACACATCATCCTCGATTTCGCAGTTGTCCCTTTACTGGGGTTACATACATGCTTGGAGATAAACCTTGATCAGCAACGACTCCCCACGGTCACGAGTAGTTTTCGTGTTAGAGCAATGCACTAACATCAAGGTGCTCAGAAGTCCCAGGTACTCCATTCCAACTCTGAACATTGCCATTAGAACCTTGGACATTGCATTGAACACCACCAGACTGGCTTCAACATGTTGGTTTGCCGATTGAAAATGCGGCATTCCGTGCCTAGATGGATATCTCCTGCGCACAGCGACTGGAGATTGATTTCAAGTCGCTGCGTATTGTTTCGATTCCACACATCAGCTGATATAGCTGATGCCTTTTGAAGCACGCGTGGTGTGACTCACATACTTTTCGTCTCGTGGATTTCGGGAGTGGTGGTGACTGATGGCTGACTTAGGGATTACATAATAGCTGCCGTCAATCGTTGGCTGCGTTATGTATGCGGCGGTACGAACATATCCACAGCCATAGTGACTCGTGCGTCAGTGTGTGAGTGTGGCTTGATATTTGTCGTATGTCGAGTTCCACAATTTGTCATATACCTACGTGCTATTGAACTGAAAAACCGAACTGAACGGCTGCGTATTGGACAGCGAACCACTGCGCGTCCAATATCAAAAGTCTCAAAAGCCCCTCTATTTTCTAAAGGTTATTGTTTGGACTGCCAATAACTTTACGTACAGTATGGTATTTGTAAAATCCGTTTTCTTTTTCGAAATTAAAGAGATAAATCAGATTATCAGAATATGTGATTGAATAGAGTGAATTTGTGTTGGGATAGCTACTAGCCAAGTATTGGACACAGCTGACATCGCGTCCAGGGCAGATTCACCTTACAGCTCCGATTTTTTTAGCTCGAGTTTGGTATCAACTCTGCTCAGCCAAATTGAAACTCGTGCTGCAATGTTGTTTTCGTGTTTGATTTGAAACCAGCAATGCGCTGTAGCCTATCACAATGGAGAGTATAATGTGTGAAATTTAAGCTCCACTCTTGAGCTAAGAATAATGCCCTAATATTGGCTAAATCCTTCAAAGAAGCCAAAGTACCCGGCAAGCATCATATAACCTACCATTGAGCATTCAATTTACTGCCCAGTCGTGTTTGAATATGAATATTGCTCGCTGGACTGCATTCGCTCGCCCTTTCAAATCACTCCCTCAAATATGAGAATCGTAATAACCAACGTGAAGACACTTTGAAGGGCAATATGGAGCCCGGGGGCACCGGGTTCGTTTTATTGCGTTATTTTTTTCGCATTCCGGCCTCCATACGGCGGATGAGAAGGTTACTGGTGTCTCAGGTAACAGGTTATGCTGTGGTCTACCTGGCTCTGCCTACCTGGTTACTCAGCTAGCGGCCTGGCTATGTAGCCCGCCGCTAGGAGGAGTGGGGAGTGGGGGGGAGGGGGAGTCGGTGCCGCTCGCTCTGTCACCCCAGCTCTGTATTCGTCTTCACTGTCGGCGGTTCACATAAGGTGGCACGGCCAGCCCGTCGTCTGGCGACCCCGGCTGTGACGGGACCCAACCGCCAGTTCTGTCTCGACTTGCTGGGTCTGCTCCAGTCTGCGCTGGTCTGCTCTGGTCTTTGCGGGTCTGTGCTGGTCTAGACTCGGGTCGGGTCGGGTACTGCGTCCGAGTTTGTGCTGGTTTGTAGTGGGGCCTGATCGAAACGGTCGTCTCTTTTTGACAGTGGTCTGGTGTGCTAGTTGAGATGAAATGGCTGGACATTTGAAGCTTGTTCAATAAGTGGACTTACCAAGCGACTCAGGCGGAGAACCTCCTTTCCGTGTCATTTCGTGCCACTTCCGTGTCATTTCGTGCTAATTCGTGATACAACTGGCTGGCGTAACGATTCGCTTAGCGCAGGGCCAATGAATGAGGCGTACATAAAATTGTTGACCGAGCACAGCTCGTTTGAACTGGGCTCGACTCCTTGCTGGCTGGTGCCATGTTTGATGTCAACCACTTCAACTCATATTTGGTAGCGAATTAAGCCAAATGGAAATGAATGTCCACCAGACGTCCCGTGGGCGTTATAAGGCGCCCAGTTGCTCAGAAGTATAGCACTTTATGAGTTTTCTGACGCAGATTTGTTCGGCTCTCGACCAGAATGATGTGGTGTAGTTTGTTCCCCAGAATGCATGCCTCGTATATGGAGCACGTTTATTAATTCTGCTAATGGAGTTAGCCGTGAAGAACTATTGCGGCTCATTTCCATTATGAAGCCGGATCTCGGGTCGGTCTCTCTCAAGTAGTCACATTAGGAACGTTATGCTGCGATCAGGGTGTTATGGGTCACGCCAGCGGCGGCTGCCCTGCGTTCCTCACATTTTCAACATGACTCGCATGATGCATATCATTTCTCAGGTCATGTTGTTCTCGCCATGCTATACTGAGCGCGAGCGCCGTACTCCAGTGCGACGTTATTCTAGCCTCATTGTTTTCGTCATGCGAGACCTACGTCCGCTATCAGTCCTGGCTACGAAATATGCATCTCATTTGAACGCACGAAAGCTGTCTGTTGTCAATATTTCTACTCTCTACCACGCCGTCCTCACATCTCTCTGCTCCTCTCTCAGCGGACTGTCTCTGGCGCTATCATCTTGCCGTTCTCACATTTATCCACGTCTCTCCGCAGGCTGTCTCTGGTGAACGCGGCGCTGTTGAACCACCTGCTGGTCGACCTGTCTCTGATGGAGCACCTGGTCACCCTGCGCCGATTCCTGCTGCTGGCTGACGGGGAATTCGGCTCCCGGCTCTGCAGTCAGCTCTTCCACCTGGTGAGTCTTGGGTCTTAGTCTTAGGTGCTGTTGAGAAGCTAAAGCATTCAGGCATGACGATGCAGCTATATTTGGCCAGCACAGACACACGTGAGTACAGCTCGATCGCAACTGACCGCCGCGTCCGAGCGGCCCTGCGCCCGTCCGGGTAGACACCGCCCGAGGGCAGGCACGGTCAGATAGAGGTGCGGGTTTCACCCACGGACAGACACCAACACAGGTGCCTTAGTCCGTGTCTCTGTCTTACTCTTATTCTTGGTCTTAGGTGAGCCAAGTGTGGAAGGTTTATGTGTCCTAATGGTACCCTTCTGTCGGCAGAACCTCTGGTCTTTGTTTTGAGACCCTGGTTAGCCTGTGTTATGTCGATGAAGAAGCGCCCGTAAGTGAATTGTGGTGCGAAATCCGATTAAGCTGTTTGCGTACTGGCTAAACCGCCTGCAGCAAGTTGTTTTCGCGCGCGGTTCATCTGTCTTTTGTCCCTGGGAGCTATTTACCTCAGTCAATTTCGAATCAATACCGGTTGACGCGACAGTATCGCGCCGTCCACGCGTCTGTCTTGTGACGACTCAGAGCCGGATCTCACCCCTCCCCGCCTCTCTTTGTCCTCAGGTGGGCACCGTGCGAACGCCACACCAGCTGCTGAGCCCCGCTACACTCAACTCGGTGCTCAGTGAGGCGCTGAGCGCTTCTGTCTGGGGCGACCACCCGCTCACCGAACGACTCAGCTTCGTGGCGAACGAGGTGCCCGACGTGCTGGACAGATCCTGTGAGTTGACGGCCGAGGGGGATGTGTCTTTGGGTGGTAGAATAGAGAGTTGTCATTACGTGTCGGATAATTTGGGCGGCGTATGGGTAATGGGTATGTGCGTGCTATTTCAGTCCCACGCACAAGGGGGAAAAGCTAAAAAAATTGAGCGGGCCCCATTATGAAGGAATAGGCGAAACGATGGTATTTTACAATGCCTTTAGCGTCACACTACGGCAAATATCGTATCCAAATAAGGTATCAATGGCAAGAGAGAGCAACAAGGTTTCTTCTCGAACACTCGCCGTGATAATTTATATCGGTGTTTTTGGAAAGAAAATGCCCTAACGACGCTCAACTTTTTGAGCGCCACTTGTCGTTCGGGACCGCGATACTCAATAAATTGAGCGCCACGACAGACGACAGTCAGCTGGCGCTCAAAAAATTGAGTGCCGGCCAGCATCTACACTCAATTTTTTGAGCGTTCTCCGTGACAGGTGAAGCCGGTACTGGCTGCCATTTTTGATGTTATGTTCGTTGAAATACGTTAAACTGAGTTGAAACAGAAATGCAGGAAGTTGAATGCTACGTGGTACCTAAACTTTTCACAAACCCATGGCATCATGTCACATTTTCCGCTAGTAGTTTTATCGGTCTTTCGGATTCGGCACACCTCAAATAATTATACAAGGCTTGAATAATCCGTATGAATACTGTAATTGATATTCCCTGACTGTACTGGGAGAACGGAATACGTGAATACAGAGATATCCACCCACCCTTGAATATTGGAGAATTATAGCAGGAAAAACTGTATTGCCACGGTTACAACTTACAAGGCCATCGGCCGCAAACAAACAAAAATACTATACAATGTGGGTTAGATTCACAAACATCATCAAGTGTGGAACACAGAGACGAGCAAAACAACATCACATTATCGCATGCCAGCCCGAACACATTGGAACCGGGTCCGGGTGACCTGCGACCGGAACCTGCGTCTTGCCAGCATACATCACAAAAGCAGGAGGCAGTGTCGTACTGCTTTGATCCAAAATATGCCATATAACAAATGACATAAACGACCTAAGCTCGGACTAACCTTATCATTATCAAATCCTTAACATGTAAAAGACGAATGGAAACATCGAGTCTCAGACCAGCAGTAGCAACGATCACAGTAGCAACATCACAAGAACACGCGGCATTATCAGACAGCCGTTTTGTTATCGGGCTACAGGCGGCGACGGCGTGGTTGCAGACCAGCTGCGAGGTAGCGGCGTGCGGGCAAAAGGCGCGGGCACACCTCCATGTGGCCGTGCGGACAGTGCGCGGTCGGCGTCGCATAGTGGGCGGCATCGGGCTGTCCCGGGCCGTCGAAGCCGCACAGGTTGTCGGCGCATGTGGGCGCGCGCGGTCACCACGGCCAGCTGCTCACCGCCAGCACAGACTGCGCAGCGTCGCCGCTCCGCCGGCCAGAACACGCAGACAACCCTTCTTGCAGTCGCACAATACGTCGCCAAACTCATTCACCTGCTCCACCATGTTGTTGATGTCACCGAGTCGTTCGAGTTGTGGCTCGTGCCGTCGAGCATGACCTGCCCGATCGGACACGGGTCAGCGGCTTCTGCTCCAGCGAAGTCTTCATCTTAGTGACGTCTTGCTGATCTCCACAAAGGCTGAGCAGATGACCTTACCCACAGAGACGGCCGACGTCCTCGCCAGCGACCGCTTTCAGAATTCAGAATGTATTTCAAGCTCATCCAGGTAAACATACACCGGCTTTTCATGTGCTTACGTCAGTTGTGGGATAAAAGGCATACACACACGACACTAATACGACATAAAACAATGCAAAAGGCAACTAACCCAATGAAAGAATGCTAAAAGGTACCACAGTAAGTACACACGCTTGGTTGTGCAGACCTGCCAGAAAAAGAAAAGCTGTTTGGTGATCTCAAACGATTTTTTTCTTTATGCAGTGGAACAAAACGGAAAATATGTCATACAACAGGAACTAAAAAAAAGTTGCAGCCTAGGTCGTCTAAGAAATGGGTGCAACATTGATAAAATTCTTCATTGAATGAATTCTGCAAATGCTTTTGATAAAATGTGTGGTGATTATAAGGAGACCACTTTACTATAAAATTGCTCAGGATTCCCTATCTGGACCTATCAAAAAATCCTGACTGCACACCAACAATGAGCATTAAATCCAAAACCTCTACCAGGTACCTAGGGATAATTAAATTCTTGATGTTAGTTGTCGGACTTTCATCCCCGTCTTGAGTTGAGATGTTAGTTTCACAACGTTTCGGCCAGTTACTTCTCCGGCCGTCGTCAGGTGTTCTTTGGCCCTTAGAAGGACCTGGATGTTGGTGGCGTTGCGCCGTACGCGTCATACCGTTCGAAAGCTCCTGTAGTCAGCGGGAATCGAACTCGGGTTTCCCCGGTGATAGTCCACGGTTCTAACTGTCTGCCTCGATAGTGGAGTGGTTAGAACCGTGGACTATCACCGGGGAAACCCGAGTTCGATTCCCGCTGACTACAGGAGCTTTCGAACGGTATGACGCGTACGGCGCAACGCCACCAACATCCAGGTCCTTCTAAGGGCCAAAGAACACCTGACGACGGCCGGAGAAGTAACTGGCCGAAACGTTGTGAAACTAACATCTCAACTCAAGACGGGGACGAAAGTCCGACAACTAACATCAGTGATACTAACACCTCGTCTCAAGCATTCAGAAGAACTAAATTAAATTCTTATTCAGGAAAATATTTCACATCATACAAATAAAAACCTTTACTATATTGAAACTGAAAATGTGATGCTGATCCAGTGACCTAAGGGTCTCAAAGTATAATAATGAATTAATCGATTATAAATTTGGTGGTGACTGCCGACTGGCGTCTGGCGGCCTAGACCTTGAGGCTTGAAAGTGGCCTTCCTTTTCCGTTGACTCCGATCCTCCAGATGGAAATGATATAAAGGATCATTTTTATCTTATTTCATATGAGCGAGCCAGTCAGAAAAGTGGCTATCCTGTTTCAGCATTCACCCACACAATAGTTGACTGTCAGTCTGTCATGCTGTCAGTGTTGTGAAGTAATGAAGGAGTTGAGTTTTGTTGATTATAAATTGTGATGTTATGTAAAGGACTGGAAAATGAATGTGAAAACTATGGAAACATATTGGCAGAGTATTGTCACTTACTATCAGGACACAAGGATAGAGAATACATTCAAATTAATAAGAAATGCCAAATATCAAGGTACTCAATCACTGATAGCAGTGGACTATCATATGTTTTAATGTCAATTATATGAAAGTTAAGACTGAAACTACCTTTTACCTCATCATAACTAATGAAAAATTGTGTGAAGAAAACATTCACAGCCTCTTTGAAGCACTTAGACCACTAAAAAACAAAAATTTTCACGTAAATATGTTGTGTCTCCTTCCTTCAAAACATCATATCGGATGGCGCCACTTTCGTCGACAGTTACTTATCTGCACGCAAATCGAGGAAAACGTGAATTGATTGACGTTTACGTGTTTCCAAATTTAAAATCACAGCATATTCAAACTTTTCAGTGTACCTTTTAACATCTAAGTACAACTAAAACGATAAAAACTTACCCTCAACACAAGGACGACGACAACCACGCGACCGGAGACGTCGCGACGAAATAAACAAACGGCGCCGCCAAATGAAAAATATTCTCCGATATGGGTAATGTGAAATTGAATCGCAATCATTTTGGGTAGTATGAAAAATGCTCTTTCCAACAGAACCCTAGTAAAAAACGTGAATGGACAAAAAATAACTTTTATTTCGACATAAATATTGGCCTGTTTTTAAGTCATCCTGGTATGCCGTAGGATTTCGACCTATAAATTGGTGTTCCCCCAATCATGGAAGCTTGAGCAGTGAACAATATGAAAGCCTAATCTGTTTTGCATCATTAGTGATTCTCCTAGGGTGTTGCCATTTCTCCCTAGGTGTTACGAGTTGCTTTTGCAAAACGTGTTCCTGAAACGGCTCAATTTTTTGAGCCCTCAGCATTACGCCTATGGGAGCCTCTGACGTCACACGCTCAATATTTTGAGCGCTCAATAATTTGAGCTTTTCCCCCTTGTGCGTGGGACTGATTTCTGTGCGGGCTCCGCTCTGCCGGTTTGCGCACGGTATTTGTCTCAGCGATATTAAGACATGTTTGCTCTTTCATATGCACACGGCATCTCTTGGTTAGCCGCGCTGCAGTCTGTGTGCTGTGTTGCGGATATTTCATGCGTCCAGTATTCTGTCTGCTTGTCCCTTATGACGTACATTCCGTATCCCTTCCCCAGTGTCCCCTCCCGTGTGTCCCTTCTCACGTGTGCCGTCCCGTGTTTCACCCCCACTAACTCCTTCCTCCCGTCTGCTCAGCTCCGTCAGTACTCACCTGTCTGGACATGGAGTACCGGGCCGGCTGGCCCCACTGCCTGGTACTCACCGACCAGTGTCTGGCCCGCTACAAGGCCATCTTCCATCTGTTCCTGCAGCTGCGACGAGCCGTCTGGGCGCTGGAGCGCGCTTTCAGCCTTCTGAAGGCGGCAGGTGAGCGATGGAAGATGGAAGGGGCAGGGGAGCGATGTGTAGAGTCGGGAGGGGGGGGGGGGGCGATATGTGAGACGAAGCTGGCTCTCGTCCATGCCAGAATAGCCTGCTAGGGGGATATATGCATGCTCTTATTAAGTCATGTTCTAAGTCGAGCAGGATGTAGGCAAACATTTGAGTTGCTCACTTTACACGGTGGGCTGAAAAAGGAAATCTCGTCAATCAAACTAATATTGGTACTGGATGATTTTGTGCGAAGCCATCAAAGCTAAAATTTACCTCTGAGTTATCGTCTGGGAGCTGCGTAATTCCTTGATGAACCAGTCAGATACCAGAAGGATTTTTAACGCTGCGTCTGACGGTGCCGCGAAAGTTAAGCCGAACTTAAATTTATCCTAATTGTGCCTTTATAAATAACGAAAGAAAAACCATCCACAAGACCAGCCTCGGCGATAAGCGTAAACTTCCACCAAATTCAGATGTGGACGAACCATTTGTTCTCAACCTCATCTCTTGCTTCTGAATGCAAACAACGGTTGTGGCAGGTGCGTTATTCAACCACGGAATCTCAGTGAGTGCACCATTTTCACACGCAGTGGGTGAGTAATTATAGCTGATGCGAGTGTGAATAAGTTCATGCTTAAGCTTACTAGCTCTAAAACAACAAGTTTCATTTTTAAATCGCAGACATGGGAAAGGCAGAACTATACGATAGTTGCTCTTTTGACAACTGTGATATGCCAGTTGGCCTCGAGCGCTGTCGATCGCCCCAACGACCCACGGTCTAGGGGAGAGTGGGGCAAAGCGGCCACCCTAACGCTTCTCACGATGTCAACGCTTGATTTTTAAACTTGGAAAGATTCTTTCTATACCAATGTGATCCCTATTAAGTTGCCTTTTATTTCAACTGCGTTTTATTTCCAAAGGCGTTCACATATGAAAGATATTGACAAAACTTTAAACCTAAGCATATTGGCCACTTTGCCCCATACCCTGGGGCAAAGCGGCCACCGGCGTCTTCTCAAGTCCCGATATGAGAAACAAAATAGTTGTCTCGTGTACGACTAGGGTATTTGATGGTGACAAGGTTAAGCGAGGATGGATGTTTACTTTATCATCTTCCACCTGTAGGTAAACAAAGAAAGGATTTTCATGAAAATAAACATTTAATTGCATTATTTGGTAACTCATGCAACTAAAAAGTGGCCAAGATGAATGCATGACGACACATTTGAATATAAATAATGTTTTTTATCCAGATGGAAGCAACTTATGGCCAATTGGGGGGTGGCCACTTTGCCCCGGCCACTTTGCCCCGCGCATACCGTCCGAGACAAAAATATTCCAGCTTAGCTATTAGTGGGGTAAAAGACATTACAATTGGTAGAATACATGTACGATAACCATGCAATGCATGGACAAGAACGCTTATAAAAATTCCAAACGGTTATGGAATAACATAACATTTAAAAATTGTAAACATAGTTGGTAACCTGGCAAGAAATGCTTTTCCGTGTTTCACAGAACAATGGTGATGGGCCTGAAACCCCGGTCTGGCTCATTCGAATGACGGTGAAGAGAAGCATAATTGGAAACCATAAATTTGAACTGACGCCAGCTATGAAGGGCTAAAACGATGGGTGGCCGCTTTGCCCCGGGTGGCCGCTTTGCCCCACTCTCCCCTACATTGCTGTTCGATCAGCTATTGTCCAATCCGTTCCTCGCATTGGGAGCAGTTGTATCTAGTTTCATTGACCTTGACCTTTCAAAGTGACCTTTACGTAAACCTGAGTCATCGTGCGCGCACGGACCGTCTGCAAGTTCATCAGCCTTGCGGACTATAATATTGCCATTGACGGTTTGTGCCGCTCGCGTCAGACGCGTGAGTGCTACCGAACCGCCGAATGGAGCTTCCGATATCCGGGGTCTCGCTGTCACCGAATCCCATTCAGACTGTCAAAGCCCGTTTGTTGGCGGTGATCTGTGTGTTGTTTGGTACTCGCCGTTGAGTGAACTGGGAGTAGGATTGTGTCTCATGCGTGTGTAACATATAAGTAGATTCACTTTGATGCGGACGCGATAGCACGTATCGCCAAACAAAGTACTATATCGGGGTCCATTTGCAACGGGGTACAATTCTACGAAACGATTGATCTGCCTATGCAGTCTTACATATAGTCCCTCTTTAACTGATTTGGACTCTTCGACATGCTGGTGATCATTACTTGGTTGTGGTCAGGTTCAAACAAAGCGTCGGTGACACGTGTACGTACGCGTGTAATAATACAGTCATGGTCACGACTACGAACAGCTTAAACGGCCGCACGCCTTCACCCTGAGACCTTGGACTGGCATCTTGATCCTGTTCCTCAGATCCTGTCCCTCAGATCCTGTTCCTCAGATCCTGTTCCTGGGATCCTGCAGACGCTCCGGCGCGGTTCAATAAAACTTTGCCGTCAAATCCTCTAGAAGGAAATTTAAGGCTTAAGTCCGGTGAGTGCCTGAAGCAGTTAACGCCACTCCTTTTGAAGCTGCAAGGCGGCACTCGATATGTTTCAACAGCCACTATAGCGACTGGTAAGCGGATTCGAGTGCACAGCCACTGCTAAGTTCACATTGCAGCTGTGTGCAGGTGCATAACTACAGCTGCAAGTTCTAGTTCAGCGGTAACTGCTGCCATTCCTAATCTCCTGCGCTGCATTTCAACGATGCTCGATAGCGCGAATGACCATTGGCCGTAGGTTATAATTAACGTTCTGATTAAGACACTCTCAGAAAGTCGGAACATCTGGTCTTACCTGATCGACAAAAGCGCCACGCTTTTTGACAGCGCACTACTCAGTAACACGAGCTAAAGCATTGCTATGACAACTGTTTCGGTCACGCTGCTAAGCTGACCTGGTGATATACCAGAGGGCAGCAAGGGTGGAGGACCATTCAGCTTCTGTCGTTCACAGTAGCCACGTCTCAGCACGAACGACTCGCAGTCACTTGAGTAGGCGAGTCGTAGAGTAGTAGAGTAGTCGTTGAGTAGTTGAGTAGTAGCCTACCATTGAGTAGGCGAGAATGGCGTATGTGTGGTTAAAGACGGCGGTAGGCGTCGTGCTGACGGTAAACTTTTCCTTCCCACTGATCGCCGTACTCAGCAATCGCCATCTCTGGGACGAACCGATGGCCGTCATCGCTGGTAGCATGTCCTTCGACTGCACCGCCCTCGGCCTGTTCATCATGTTCATCGGCATTTACGACATGGCTGGTCTGCGCAGCGAGGCGCTGTGCCGCGCCCTGCAGTACGGAGGCAGCGCCGCCGGCATCGCGTTCAAGGCGTCTCAGTCGTGTGCCGCGCTCGATCAGTTCGTGGCGATTGTGTACCCGCTGCAGCACTACGCCATCATGATGGGGGCCCGGCCGTGGCTCTTTGCCTCCATCTGGACCGTGTTCGCTGCCAATGTCCTCTTCGGCCTGGTGGCGCACCTGGCCGACATGGAGACGTTCGTCGAGCACGTCAGCCGCGGAGGCAACTCGACCTACAGCGGCTGCCGCTGGGAGACGGGCGTGGCCAACGCCTTCACCATCCTGGGTGAGGTGGAGATGGTGACCTTCTCGCTCATCACCGCGGGCATGCTGGTCTACACAGGCGTGGTAGGCTACCGCACCAACAAGAAGCTCATGAAGGACCGCCAGCTGCGCCAGGGCGGCGGCACCGGCAGCGAAAGGGAGCACAATACTTTTCTAGACAACCACCGCGCCTTCAAGAGCATCGTGACAGTGCTATCGCTGACCGTTTCGCTGGACATAGTCACGCCGCTGGTGCGCATCGCCAGCCGCTGGCAGCCACGACCGATGCTGAATGGCCTGCTGCTTCAGTTGCGTCTCGTCGGCTTTATCTTCGAAGGCTGGGCTTACGGCTTGCTGAATGGCAAGCTGCGTGCCGCCTACCGCAAGATGCTCTGCGGCAAGTCTCGACGCGTTCGGGGCCTGGTCGTGACTAGTGGTGACGCGCGGCACGCGGACAAAGCCGAGGAGCCGCCGCCAGTCGCCGCTGCTGCCCCGAACTTGGAGCTCCAGTCGGTCGCCAGCAGCGAAAGGCCGAGGTTCTAGGCATGCAGGGTTTCTGAGAGAACATGGACGAGCTGCTGAGGTCCTGAGATAGCCAGCGGACGTTCTAAGAGTCATCGACCACCAGCTGCTGCTGCTGGGGTTCTCGGGAGCCAGCAAGCTCAGTTTTTTTTTTTTATTATTTGAACCAGTCACCCTCAACAAACAGTAACCCGCGCCCTGCATAGGGATGTTTGAACACTCTAGCGGTATTTTGCGAATGTCTTAGAAACGATCGCGCGTAGCGCCGCTGTTCTTTTGTGCTCTTTTTCATACATCTTTTCTGAGCATATGAAAATTTCAGACCCAGGTCCCTCAATGTCAGCAACTCTTTGGCATTAGGACTTCTTTGACTGTATTTGGTCTGGCGCTCAGACCAGTCAACAAGCCAGCGTGCCGCTGCATTGTATGTTGATGAAGGATGGCGGAAGGCAATGATGAATGCCGCAAACGCCTGTGGACAGTTTCAGCCTCTTGGCGCCGTGATTGGGGTGTAAGGGGAAACCCATCAGTCGTACTGCTCTCCAGGAAGGTCAATGGTGCTCAGGACGGGCGCACGGTGGTGGATCTGGCCCACGGCAAACCTGGTTGCTCCTATCTGTGATTTAACGCTGAGAGGTAATTGGAGTCATAACAGCGGGACAAGCAACGTTGCCCTCAGATTCTACCAGCACGAGGATTTCACGGAAAGCGTTTAAACATGTTTTGTAGTGCCAATCACTTTCAAAATATTGCCTAAATGTTCCATTAAAGTTCACCAATCAAAGATACATTTTATCACTTTGCATATTGCATATTCGACGCACTTGACTCAAACAGTCTAATTATCATTGCAAGTACGCCAATCTTATATACCTACCTGTAGCATGGCAATATGCGTGGTAATCTGTTAATATCAACAACTGAATCATGGTCTCCAGTAGTTTCCACATCGACACGTAAAGAAAAACATTCCATATTCAATTCAGATAGTAATAACATCCTAACCTATCACAAGTGTGGCTTGATAACTGAGTTGTTATTGCAATGACGCCTTTCTTCGAACCGGCTAACGGCTGACAGTGCAGGCGGCGGCGGCGCGAAATGGCTGATTTGTTTCTGTGAATCCAATCCTGGTCGGGTACCGAGGGAGCGATGTCCCGGCTCGAGCTGAACGCTTGCTGTTGCGGAGTCCGGGTACCGCGGCTTGTCTGTCAGATTGCTCAGTCGGGGCTCCGCTGTCAGATTTCTGTCAGAACAGAGCGTGGGTGGAGATGAACCGGACATTCGCTGGGATAAGGTGCACCAGCGGTGCCTCGAGAAAGGCCATAGAGCCGTTCTTGCGTATACAACTTGGGTCAATATAGAATGCTGCGGTATCGTTTTAGTCTGAATAGCCGGAACAAGGCTGATAGCTATAACGTGGTGTATGAAGTCTGTTAATAGTGGGTTGTTGCTGCGATGACGGTCACTCGGCTTACGTAACCTACTTGTAGCCACAGAATCCTGAGATTGCCGTCATCTTATGCCCGCCATACCGAATTATGGGAGAAAGCAAACCCAATCATATTGCCAGTGGAGCTCATTCAATGTATAAAAAGTTAAATCGGTTCTCTCGGGCCGCCTTCCTTCCCTCCGGACCGACACGCTCTTCTCCTTCCTACTCGGTTCTCCGTCCGACCCCAACCCAACCGGGCACGAGTGGTCGCTAATCACCGGTCCGGGCCGAGACGGGCCCATTCTCCGCCCGCCCGCCGGCAGCGCACCATTAGTCGGCCGGCCGGCCGGGCGTCTGCACTCGACCGATAATGTCCGTCTCTGGTGCGCCGCCGCTCGTCGACCGAACAGCTTCATCAATAAGACACTCACCGCCATCCGCCCGCCGGTTCAAAGCGCGGACATGTGTGGACTTCGGCTGCGGGCCGTTCCATTCCGCGCCTCCGTGTGGTGTGTGTTAAGTTGAAGGGGCTGGTGAACATTTACGCGGTGTGAGGGTGTAATTCACCGCAGGATGTAAGAGTCAGGGATGGTTGATTTTATCCCCCAGTACCAAGGAGGCGGCTCATCTGGTTTTTCTATCTTTGTTATATTTCCGTCGGTGTATGTGTATTGATATTGTTTTGCTGTTGTAACTATCTCATCTTCATTATTTGGTGGCCCTCCTGCAGCACTAAAAATGTCATTCCTTCTTATGTTTATTGGTTCTTGACTTATGACGAATAAAAATAATTTCCTAGGGAAGGCGCAACATCAATTATTTCCAAGTGTTCCTTTGGAACGCATCAACAAAATGACAACTGAGCTATCAAAGGCTCTCTTAGGAATCAGAGCAGTTTATTTTTCTTCGACCGATCTGCAAGTATTTGTGTACCATGGTTGAGAAGGCCTTTTGTTTCCCACAGCACCGCGCCTCTCAAGATTTCGGGATTGAGTTAGCTCTCTCCTACCGTATGTTCAAGTTAACGGACCTGGGCAGCGTTGATGAGGATGGATGCTACTTTCGGGGCTCTGACCGGATTGGGTCATGGACTATTGGATCATTTTTATCCATATCCGTGTGCTGCAATGTAATATAAAGCGCTATACTCCCTCTCCAAAAATGAATGGTGCTGACAAGAATGGTCCGACTGACGTTTATGTAGCCTCTGCGGAGCCTTTAATTCATCTTGTGCCGTCAGAATAATAACCTTTCAGTCGTTTAATGCACTCTAATGGTATGCCAATTGTCAGCACTTAAACATACATCATCTTTCGAAAAGTCTTTTGTCCTTGTGCATCCTTGTGTAGAGTTTTTGTTGGTGAATTTTCAGCAGCTCAGCTTTCTGACCTCCAAATTAACTGCGGCTGGGCCGGGCTGCAGAGGTTTACGCGCCGCGACCACTAAAGAGAAGTCCGTTTGATGTTAATGTGCTGCATCTGTTTAGCGAAGTTCTATGTAACCAAACGCATATAGGGACGGCCGAGTTAATGAGCGTTCCCGGCCGAAATTGAATGGTCTACCGTAAGATCAATTCCTTGGATCTCAGCGAAATGAGCCTAGGACTCTTTATGGCTGACTAGCGCACAACGTGCTTTCAACTGAGGGTGGTTGTGGTCTTGACTTGTTTATGTAGACGAACACATAGCACTGACATAGTCTTCTAACTATTTAAGTGGCGTTGCTCTATCTCTATCTTGTCTTTTACGTAAGCGTTGCTACCCGATTCCGGTTGGCGTCTATACCCGATGCATGCCGGGCGCTCGTAACGCTCAAACGCAGACGTAGACTCACCACTAGGTGCTGTTTCAGCGCATGGATGCTTGTTCTGGTCAATGATAGCTGGGTCTTACACTTTTATATGATGAAAGTGTTCGTTGTTTCGATTTCCATCACACCCAAGTTTTCATTGGTTAGTACACATTTACATATTAGTTTTGACTAATACGTTCTTTCCGTCCGCCCGTCCGTTTACCATGCCTTTTGTGAGTCCTCCTTTCCGTCCGTCGGCCGGTCACAGGTCAGGACGTTCCCAGACGGACCATTAGCTGCGACCGTGGCAGGTATATGTCGATCGCCAGCGATGGACAAAAAGACGACAGAATGACAGATGGATAGACGACGGACGAACGACAGACGGGCAGACACAGACGGGCGGATTGACAGACAGACAAACGCCTGACAGTCGGATCGAAGGCTTCTGGGGCGTGCTCTTGTTTGACTTGGTTATGTTTTATCAGCTGGGCTGGCATTTGGGAGACAGAATGGAGGGAAGGTGTTCGATGCTGTAGGATATAACCGGTGTTAGAAGTGAGGTGGCTATGTAATTTAAATGTCACCGATGCTGTGAATTGCGTGGAGGGTTAGTCTACATCTATATTCACCAGCTTGTCCAACTGCTAGCCCCTACAAAGCTCCACCATAGCCCTACATCTTCCGAATTTCGAAATAATAATACTGTGGTTTCGTCCTATCCAACAATCATCCAACCATGGAAATACACCGTCTATGTGGCAGACATGTTGACATGGGGCCACATCATGTCGCCCATGACATGACATGGACCCATGTGGTCGCGGTCGCTGTATTCGCGCTGTGGCCCGAGCTTCATTTTGTGTAAATTATTTCTCGCGCAGCCCATCTCTGCATTTGCCGGCGCCCGGTATCCGCCCTGGTAATTTATTCCAGTGCCTTTGTGTCGCATGAATTTCGGCCGCGGCGCGCTGGTAGGGTGTAATAACACTGTTCGGAGCTTTCCGGATCACTTTAGTCTCCATTTGGGCAGCGGTTACCGCGGCGCGCCCCGCACCTGCTCCCCATGGCCCGGCGAGTGAGTGCGGCCGCTACCCTCCCCGGTCCGGCGTCATGGGCGGCGCGTGTGTGTCAGGGGGTGACGATGAAGCTTGACTCATCTGAGTCCGACAGCCAGTGACTGACTTTTTACCCCGCCCAGTTCTTAGTTGATCCCGCTCTCACTCTGTGATACTAACATTCGATTCGGAAGGGCTGCACTCCTAGACAAGGCATTGCCACTCTGGTTTCTAGTTTCTAGGATTAAGTGAAATGTCCAGTTATCGTTTCGTCTAAAAGAAGACCTGATATACCTGGCCTACAAGTTTTGACCTGTGACCTGTCCCAGCTCTAACTTGTAAAGCTCTGTGCTCTATTGTGACCTGCCGCCTCTCCTGCCAGGTGAGCTGTCTCCGTCGGGCGCCGGCGGCGGGCCGCAGGTTCAGCGCCTGCAGCTGTGCCGGCACGAGATGCAGCACTTTGTGCTGGCGCTGCAGGGCTACCTGACCGGGCAGGTGCTGCAGGTCAGCTGGGCCGAGCTGCGCCGGGAGCTGCTGGTCAGCGTGCACACGCTGGACGAGCTGCGGGCGGCGCACGTCGGCTACATCAGACACGCCGCCAGACGGTGGGTGCAGTCGGGGGTGTTGGGGTTATGGGCACGCCAAGGGGATGCGGTCAGCGTGAGGAGGTGACAGGCGCCTGGATACTCTACGCGTTTGATGCGTGCGTTCCATCCGGGATGTCGGCTTTTGTGCGGCATCGTTTTCGCAAAAAGTTGGTGTCATTGCTCAGCATCGGGTGGGCTGCACTGAAACGGCAGCTCTTAAAGGAAAAGGGCCACCTTTAACATGGGGATTGAAACTCAGATAGCCATCTTGTAGCCCGTGTCCGAAAACCTATCTGTCCACCTCCTTACGGCCGATTTCGGCCTCCATTCGTAGTTATCGGCAATTTTAAAAGAAAATACGCCAGGAATGCGTCCTTATCCCAGGAATGCGTTCTTATCCGACAATACAGCCACCCGCGGCGAGGCTTTGTTTTTTTACCAATCAGCTCCAACCAGCTCAGCTTTAACCAATCAGCTTATCTGACACAATCCGACGAGTCTGTCCTCTGAACGCTGATTGGCTTGAGTGTGACGTCATCGCTATGCCATCATACAGTAGGTGCCGTAGAGAGTATCAACATAGTACCAATATGTTAAATAGTTTTAAATACTTTTTAGCGAATTGTGCACTTCTGGCACCAGTTTTAAAAAGAAAATGAAAAATAATAATGTCAAAATGAAAAACAACGATATCTTCATATTTCACGAAGGTGGCCCTTTTCCTTTAAAACACGCGACCTCGGATGGAACGCATGGAAATATTGTATGAAAGGCATGCAATATCACGAAAATAAAAAAAAACGGATAAAATGCAGACCAATGTCACGAAAATTTGGTAAACAGTATACCTATAGTTATGTTCTAGAAGTACCTATCCTTTTTGGGGATCCAGGTAAACCGCCCCGCCCAGCAGGCAGCAACCCTTCTCCAGGAACACACAACTACCCCATGGGGGAACTTAACTGGTAACAGATTGCAACAACCCGCTTAGCACATTTTTTTTCAAATTACCATTAAGGAATCTTTAAAAAGGTTCATTCTCAAATGATTTCAAAATACATTGGCATGGTGAAAAGAGGAAAGTATCACTTTTGTGTATTAATAAAGTAGCATTCGCTATAAAGCAATCATGATTGCGCCGTTTGAACAATATTATATAATAGCGATTAATAATTTGGTAGTGCCTTTCACAGATTTCGACACAGCTTGATTTGAAAAGCGCTTGTCCATTTTTCTGGAATAGTTGCTAGCTCTGATCGCCACTGCCAGCCTTGTATGCAAGCACGCATCTTTAGGTGACATTTTCCTGCAACATTGAAGTGAATTTTACTTGCATTGCTTTGGGCAGAAAACTACCAAAATTGTTTGACCTATACCTGTTATTGTGCTGAGAGGATTCCGCAGTGTTGAGATTTTGCCTTGTTAAACAAACCTTTCACTTGTACTGGACGAAAGGGCGTCTGCCATACCATGCATCGCTCACTTGCCAAATAGACTGTGATGCACGAGCTCAAACTCTGACCCGCCTACAACCACGTACCCACAACGTTTTATCCACACGAACAAATGTATTATAATGCAGCAAAAGACAGCACCATTTTCAACTTCTATCATAATTGATATCAGCACAATCCGCAGGCCACAGCAATCACCAGACCTCAGGCCAGTACAGAACAGCGGAGTGACTGAGTCAAATCAGCACGTATTAAATCGGCACATCAAAAACAAATAAATAGGTAGTTAAAGCCCGTCATATGAGGTGGTTTGAACAATCCCTTCATATACACAGCACAATAGCTAGCGTCTTCATAGAAAGTGGGGAAATCGGTACCTAGCGGATGTTCATTAGTCGTGCACTTATCTAAAACCGAAACAATAGAGAAGCAGTAGACAAGCAGTATAGACTTCCCTTGTAGACAAGCACCTAGTGTGTCGCGAGTAAGGCTGTAATTTAAAGGAAAAGGGCCACCTTTAACATGGGGATTGAAACTGAGATAGCCATCTTGTAGCCCGTGTCCGAAAACCTACCTGTCTTCCTCCTTACGGCCGATTTCGGCCTCCATTCGTAGTTATCGGCAATTTTAAAAGAAAATAGGCCAGGAATGCGTCCTTATCCCAGGAATGCGTTCTTATCCGACAATACAGCCACCCGCGGCGAGGCTTTGGTTTTTTACCAATCAGCTCCAACTAGCTCAGCTTTAACCAATCAGCTTATCTGACACAATCCGACGAGTCTGTCTTCTGAACGCTGATTGGCTTGAGTGTGACGTCATCGCTATGCCATCATACAGTAGGTGCCGTAGAGAGTATCAACATAGTACCAATATGTTAAATAGTTTTAAATACTTTTTCGCGAATTGTGCACTTCTGGCACCAGTTTTAAAAAGAAAATGAAAAACAATAATGTCTAAATGAAAAGCAACGATATCTTCATATTTCACGAAGGTGGCCCTTTTCCTTTAACTAGCGATATACTAGGGCGTGAGGGTGAATCTGCACCTTAACCGCAAACGCCAGCCAGCACGCGACAAACGAAGGGCCGACCTTGGGAGCATCCGTAATCGCTACCTCCGCTGGTTTTCATTTCGAGGCAGTTGGCATCTGTTCCACCATTCGGCTCCGATGTTGATCGCCATGCAAAAGATGAGGTGGAGCCGTCCACCGACTTCCACGTTCCCTCCATTTCGGCATCCGATATTCCAGCCCAAGTAGATGAGGCCAGGCCGAGACTGTAGTAGACCAGCTTGAACGTCTTCATGTTGATGACGGGCGAGAGGCGGGCTCCCGGCTGCAGTCCCGCACAGTGGTCATCAGCGACCTGCCAGGCCATGGCCGTGGAGACGTAGTGGTAGCAATAGTCGTCCACGAAGAGCCAGCCGGAGGGACAGGGGCTCATCAGCCGGCATTTGTTCGGCGCTTCGCAAACATAGCGTGACACTGCTCTTGATGATCGGAAGGCGCTATATTGCATTACATGATAGAACCTTAGGTTGACGTGTCCAGGATCATGAGCGGCTTCATATATCGGTAGCTGAAACGAGACGGCTGCCCCGTCCGGACCGGTGAAGGTGCCGTTCTCCAGCTTTACACCAGTCAACTCTGGCGATGCGGTACGAGAGGGGTGGTACAACAGCCAGCTGCTTTCCTGCACGTCATTCGGCACTGCCAGGTCAGACTGCTCCCCGAGACTCTGACATGCCGCTCGGTGTGCGTCCCAGAGCTGCGCCGTGTCGAACAACCCTCGAAAGAAGCATCGGTCCCGGAAAGGAAACCAGCCGGTTGAACAGGGAGACGTCGGAGGGTAGGAGTAGTCGACCGGCATCATGGTTCTGTTATCAGCAGTAGAGTTGTAGACCTGGTTAAACAGCTGACATTGTCCGCCGTCGGTGAGCGTGAAGCCAACACAGCCTGACGTCCTGTTGCACCAGGCGGCGCAGCTGAGACGAGACGGCGCCGCAGACTCGGCCAGTGGTCCTGCGGAGAACACATCCAGCTGGCGGACGTACGAGGCGCCGGCCAGCAGCGCGCAGCTGAGGAGCAGCACGGTCAGGGGACGGAGCGCGTCCATTGCGGCTGGTGGCTGACGAGTACCTGAGGGGGACCCGGTATGCCTCAGCCGAACATTGGCTGATGTTTTTACAATATGCATTATGCAATATTCATGGTAGCCATGCGGAAGCGACCAGCAGCACGAACAGTCAAAGTAATGATATTGCGGAGCATGACGCAATAAACGCTTAATGCTGAATTGTAACGTAATGTGCTAATGATAAGAGGAAAATGAGGCAAAAATAAGTGAAATATTGTTTGTCCTGAAAGTAGCTCGGTTATCATTTAACCCTCGCCGGACCTATTGGTTTTCTACATACGCGCCGGCCGAGGGGGGGGGCGGGTACGACCCCCCTCGCCGTTTCGCCCCCGGTGGAGCTAGCGCGTCGCGGAAAAAACGAGCGTGTGCGCCGTTATGAGACGCAGAGATTGGTACCCGATTTTAAGGGCATAGGTCAACCGGTGACCTCTGAGGTCAGGTCAAGTGCCCCAAGGTACGGTTCAGTTTTTGGTGAATAACTTCGCAAAAAAACGGCCGCAGAGCCGCGATTTTGGCAGCATCGTGCTCGCCTCGCTCAGGCGCGTCGAATGATATACTTTTTGTTCGGGTCAGGTCAACTTAGGGTGTTGACCTCAGGTCAAGGTCAGGTCAGCACCCCCAGGTCACGAAGCTGGTTGAAAGAGGTCATGTCGCATATCATCGGCAGCTCTTCCTGATCTTCCTGAGTCGATTCGGCAGGTCTTCCTGAGTCCATTGGTGGCTTTCCCGACTCGCTAGCTCAATTTGATCAAGAGTTATTGACGAAAATATAATATGACCACGTCACGCAAGGTCAACATTGCAAAAGTGACGCATCTAACTTGCAAGAAGTGCATCAAATCGCGATGCTGTGTGCTTGAGATAGTTGGAGATCGTTCCCGGCGCCAGAATAGCAGTTTTCATTTTTCCCCATTGACTTATAATGGTGAGGTCACGAAAATGACCTGATCTCATATGACCTTTACGAAAAATCCGAGATATACAAGTTGTGAGACTCATAATGGATACTAGATCCTGCAAGTTTCATTTCCCTGTGACATCTCCTCTGGCAGTGAAGGCGTTGCGAAGTTGCGACATCTGATGAAGATCGTGCAGAGGTTCACTTATGACGTCATAGGTCAGTGACCTGACCTAATCCAAAAATGCGGTTGGTGTCAAAAGATCCGGCTTGAATCAAAGGTCAGGTATGCCAAGTTTCAGCTTTCTATTGCCAGCGTGTTCGGAGCTATCGCGAAAAAAACTTATGGGGGTGCGGCACCCGCCCCCCCCCCTCGGCCGGCGAGGGTTAACCCTCGCCCCGTTGGGGGGGGGGGGCAATATGGCCATTGCCCCCTCTGGTTTTTCCTGAATAGCAAGAAAACGGCGGTGCGTACCTTACCGAGCATCAATTTGACACCTTCAACAAAATTTCAAGTCTTAGGTCACCTTAGGTCAGGAGTTATTGAGGTCAAACTGAGGTCATCTTCGAGCAAATATCAGCAAAAAAAACCTGAAAT